TCCTGACGGGTGTCATTTTTGAAATTGGTTTTGTTTTTGAAGAAGAAGAAAAAACCAATCTAAATGTGTTTATGAGGCCCAGATTGGATTTTTCTTTAAAATTACTGCATCAAGAAGGGATTTTTTTTTTTTTTTTTTTTTTTTTGCCACAGCACTAAATCTAGTTTGCTTCCCTTCCTTTTCTTTTAAATAATAAGTTTTGCTGCACTTATTAGTGATTTTTTTATGGCTCCTTCAGGGATGTTGGATTCCTGTGCTTGGTTGTCTTGGCAGAAAAACCCATCAAGTGTGCAGACCTGCGCTTTCAGATGAGGCCTCGCTCCGTCCCGGTGCGGCGCCAGGTGGTGATGAAATGTGGCCGCTCGTGGGGCGGTCAGAGCAGACAGGGCGCTAAAGGAGAAATAGGAGCAGCACCAGTTGCCAGACTGGCGGCAGGGAAGGTGCGCAGTGCAGGCAGGCTGCGCACCCCTCGCCGGCCTGCATGGCCCCACCGAGGAGGCTGGGGGCGCTGGCGGGATGTGCGGGAGGCCTGGGGGCGCTGGCGGGATGTGCGGGAGGCCTGGGGGCGCTGGCGGGATGTGCGGGAGGCCTGGGGGCGCTGGCGGGATGTGTGCTGTCCACATCCTGTGAGATGCTGGGCCGTGGGTTTGATGATAGGTAGACTTGGTTTAGGCGGCGATAATGCTCAGAGGAGAATGGTGCCTGCAGACACCTTTACCAGCACGACAGTGAGATGAATGGAAATGTTGCTCTTTGTTATTTCATGTTTGTAACGCTTGCCACCTTTGCCCCCCCCCCCCCCCCCGCCTCGGCCTCAGGCAGCTTCTCATTAGAATTGCTCTGAATAATTGGGCCCTGGGGGGAGCTGACACCGTTTTGTTAGGATGAGGCTGCTTTCCGGTGGCCGAGAGGGCTGCTGGCAGCTGCTGCGCCCGTGGCCTGCTGGTCTCCAGCTGCTGTGTGCGTCTGGGCCTGCTGCTGGCTCTGAGGCCACATCTGGCCCTCCTGTGGGGACCCCTGAACCGCCTCCGCTCCAGACCTGCCACCTGGAGGATAGGCGTCGCCAGCACCAGTTCTAAATCCCAGGCTGCGGCCCAGAGGCTGCTTTGGGTACATGCTCAGGGCCCGGTGCTTCCTGAGTGTGACGGTCAGCGGTCTGCGGTCAGCGATGTTTCCCCGTGAGCTTTCTCTCCTCCTCCCTCCTGTGAGCCTGGAGGTGAAAGCCCGCCTGTGGGCTCACAGCGCCTTGCAGCCACGGGTCCTCAGTCCCTGGTGGGAGGCGGGTGGCCGAGTGTTGCTGATGCCCATGCAGTCACACCTCAGGGACGATTGTGGTGCCGAATGTTCCCTCCCATGAAGAGCCTTTGGAATTCTCAGTTCCGGGTGTCAGAACCCACACCGGCCAAGAGAAGCAGGAGAGGGACCTAGAGGCAGACCCTGACATCACAGAGATGGGGGGGGGGACGCCTCGGGGGGAGCCTGGAAGCCCTGCCGCGCGGCCCAGCTGGGTTCAGGACCTGGTTCCTGGGGGTGCATCTGCCTGGAGGAGCACAGGCCCGTGCTGGCCCCTTACCCGCAGGAGAGTGGAGACACACAGCGTGCTTCCCACTTGGGCGGCAGGGCCACGGGTAGGAAGCCACCAAGAGCCCGGGAGGGTCACAGTGTTGTGGGACTGCAGACGGCAGGGTGACTGCAGGTCCCCGTGGGCATGTGGGCAGGACCCGGGACAGGCCTGTGCCTTTCATCGCTGCCCACTGAGCACAGCTGTCAGACGTTGCGTCGAGTGCGTAGAGGGCTCTCCGTTTTCTGCTGCTCCTGCCCCTTCCCCGTGGCCACGCCTGGTGCAGGCTGCTGTTTCACGCTCAGCTCCCTGGCTCCCTCCCTCCCTCCACTGTCTTCCGCCCCAGGAGGGCCTGCTGTAGACTCCACCTCACCCTCCACCAGGCGTGGGGACCTCGGCCCCACCCAGAGGCTGAGGGAGAGGAGGAAAAGCCACCCTCAGCGACCTCGGACCGTGACCTCGGACCGCCACGTCGTGCATGCCCGTCACCACCCGGCCCAGCCAGCATGGCGCTTCCCGGCCGGGCCTCTGTGCTTGTGAAGCCTGCTCCGGCTGACCCTGTGGCGAATGAGGACAGAGAGATGGCCCTGGGCGGGCGGCTGAGCCCATGGTGATGCTGCGACGCAGCCGCCCGTGGCCTCACATGAAAGAACTCTGAACAGCCTTGAGTCCTCCCGTGGACGCCCCTGGGAGAGGCCCTGCGGGGGGCCTGGTGTCCTCCGGGCCGGGGCCGGGAGGGGTCGAGGCGGCTTCGCTTGCTTTGCCAGGACATGCGCTCGCGGGACCGAGGTGACTGGGTTGGGGGCAGCGCTGTCCGCAGGGACGCCGTCTGCCTCGCACGCCTGCGTGCGCTCACCTGCCTCCCTTTCCTCGCCATCGCTTGCGGTTGCCTTGGCTACCGGCCTGAGCTTCAGCGAAGCGAGCGAGGCCTTGTCTCTCTCTTCAGAAGGCAATAAAATGACGTATGCGTACACGCACACACATCAAACACCCTTGACGGTGTGACGCTTTATTACTTTCCCCGCACTCGCACCTGTCACACGTGTTGATGGCAGAGATTTGAAAACACACAAGAGGCCCGTCCAGGGAAGAGGAGGCCGCCGCGTTTCCGCTCCTCGGGGCCGGCCGCGCGCCCCGTGTGGCCAGCCGGGTCCTTCGCGTGTGCTCCGCATCTGGAGCACCAGCCACGCACCCTCGCACCCTCCTCTCCGCACAGGCTCTGCGGGCTGCGCCCAGGCCCCGACACCCCGAGAACGGGCCTCGTCTAAGGGCTGCTTGGGGGCCCCGTTCGCTGCCACTCGGCTCACCTTTTACCAGCAGAGCTCCCCGCGGGCTGTGCTCCTGCAGACCTGCTGCTCACTCCCGCTCTGCCCCGCACCCGGGCCCCTGGGCTCCCCGGAATAAAGTTCGCCATGTTTGGGCTTTATCTTGCCCGGTTACCCAGAGTTGAGGTGTCCGTGTGTGTATGTCTGAGACAGATACGGATTCTTCTGTTTTCTCTACCCCTTTGCGACAAGTATGTATTCTTTTCCTTTTCAAGGGAAGGGGACCGGGGGGTCAGTCGGATGTGTGTGCGTGTGAATTTCACCCGGAAGGCGTTACAGGAAAAGGCGGTCATCGTGCCCTTACCAGCGCCCAGGGGTCACAGCTGGGCCTGTGGGCGGCACAGGGACACCGCTAGTTCCCGCGGGGATCTCGGTCCCTTAGAAACCCTCTGAGAGGTTCTCCCGCTGAGAGCCACTCCGGGTGAGGGAATTGTGGGGAGAGATGGCGACCAACTGGCGTGTCCAGGCCGCACACTTCCGCCATCACTTCGTGTTGTACCGTCTCAAAATGATGCTCTTTGCAAATTTAAAATTAACTTCTGGGAACATAACTGTCATCTCCAATCACATTGCCCTGGAGAGGAAATGTGTTCGAGTCCAAATGGTTATTTTATGTATTATTAGGCCATTTTTGGCGATTAAATGGATAGCCCTTACATTTTCTTAATGCTTAACTGTATTATTAAAAAACATTAATCTAGAATTTTTGGAATGAGGTTACCATAGAAATGAAAATAAAATACGGAAAAGACACTTCAGGGTACAGCTAAGGATGTAAAGCTCCCACGCCTGGAGTCAGGCTGACGCCGCTAACATTCGTAGGGGAGCGGCCGTGGGACACGCTGGCGGCTCCAGACGCTTCCTGGTCACGTCTGTTGCCAACTGTGGCGTTACGTGGGCAGTTAAGTGTGGGGCAGACACGTCTTCCTAGTTCAGGGTTGTATTTTTGACGTTTGTTTCTTGTTTTCTTAAAAGGTGTAGCACAGGGGGTCGGGCGAGGTGTGTGTGTAAGCGAACCCTTTCACGTCTTCATCTGCGGAGTGTGGCGTGTCTCGCCCGCTGTCCGAGCCTTGCTTCCCGCTGCTCCCCGTGAGGCAGCCACGGAGAAACCCCTGCGCTCAGTGTGTTGGGCGGGGCAGGGCGGAGCCGGCTCGAGGGCAGAAAAGTGATTCCAGCGCTTCCACTAGTATTTCTGTCTGAGGGACTTAGAGCTTCGGAAACAAGAACTTTAACAATCAAAGCAGAAATTATTTCTCTTACTAGAATTTTAAAAAGTTCATTAGCTGCGGCTGTGGAGGTGGAGGTGGAGGTGGAGGGATTGTAATTTGTCTGGAGCGAGGGCTGCGGGGAGGCCTCGAGCAGTGGCTGCGGGCAGGCCCAGGCGCGGGAGCGGCTCGGGCCGGCCGGGCAGGAGTTGGGGCTCACAGCTGCAAGGCCCCCTGCTTGAGATGCTGTCCCCCCCCCTCGGGGGTTTTTTCTTTGAGTGACCGATGCACCTAACGTGCATCTGAGGGAGTGAACGAAGGAGGAGGACCAGATCTCTGCTGCGCATCCAGACAGGTGGCCTGGCTCCCTGGTCCAGGGACGCTGGGGCGGGGTGGGGGGGGACAGGTGTGGGGAGGTGTCTCGGTGACGCCTCCTCAGTGACGGACCCAGGCTGTGGTGTGTCAGAGACATGAGATGGTAAACACCAGACGAGGGCAGTGCTTTCCTGGGGAGGGAGGTGTGAGTCAGCCAGCTGGGGCCGGTGTGCACGCGCAGGAAACCCACGGAGGAGCCAGAGGAGCCGCCGGACAGCGCGGCCTCTCCCTCAGCGCAGAGCGACCTTAGCTGACGGTGTGAGTCAGTGCAGGGGTTTTGCAGAGGAATTTGGCAGAATGTTACAAGCGCCTGAAATGGTGACGCTTTTGATGAAGCACTTCTTTCTGGAAACGTGTCCTGGGGAAGCCTCGCCTGCCGTCTGCCCCCTTTACTCCCCGAGCCCCTCCAGGGAGAGCACCTGTGTGCAGGAGGGGGCGAGGCTGAGGCGGGGCGCGGAGCTGGACGTCACGGCTTCCGGGACGTGTGCAAACCGGCCTCAGACTAAATGTTTGTTCTTCCTGTTGCGTTTGCAGATGAAGACGGTCAGCGTCGCCCTGGTGCTGTGCCTGAACGTTGGGGTGGACCCTCCGGACGTGGTGAAGACCACGCCCTGCGCGCGCTTGGAGTGCTGGATCGGTGAGTCCTGAAGGCCACGGGCGGAGCTCCGGGCCGGCCAGGCGTCCCTCCCACCCTGGTCCCAGGGGCTGGCGCCCTTTTCTGTAAACCTGGGACGGGGCGTCTTTCCGGAGCCCTGGACCTGTAAGTTGTTGGTCACACTCATCTGTGGTTTGTGGTGGAGAGAGTTTCAGGGAAAATTAATAAAATCATGGCTATTGGGTTACGTCCTTTTCTCCTTTAAATGTGCCCGCATCTGGCGCTAACGGCCTAGTCACCGTCTCACAGTGGGATGACTGACACCTGCGTGCCGGTGGCTCCCTCCTCAGGGAGCCGGAGCCCCGGGCCTCACCGTCAGGGGGGTGTGAGCAGAGGTTTCGGGGGCAGGGGTGCTGTCCTCAGCGCGACCTGTCGGGGTGCAGCTGACGGACCCATTGCTGCTCACAGCCGCCTCGTCACCGGGCCGGGCAGGTGCCCTGGCTCCGCAGCAAGGTCCCACTCCCGCTGTCATCCGTGAGTGGTTTGGGCGCGGTGCTCTGAGACCACGCAAGCCCTGCCTCTTCCCACGCCCCGCTCACTCCCCGTGAGCTCACGGTGTCCTCACGCAGTGGATGACGATCCGACATTGTCATCGTTGTCATCCCCACGGGCCGCTGCGGCCTTGCTTCTGTCGTCCTTTGAGGCCGTCCTTCCCTGCCGGCCACTCTCGTTTTCCTGCCGAGTTGCCGGGACAGCCATTGCCCCAGGCATGCGGGTCTGGGAAAGGCAGGGACAGGAGACACCGATGAGAGAGAAGCATCCTAGACTGCTGCCTCCTGCATCCCTCCGCCTCACTGTCCTGCCCGACCGCACACACACCTCACACCAGAGACGCCGTTCTCTGCTCAGGGCAAGTGGGCAGCTGGCGAGGAGCCAGGCTCTTCCTTCTGTTCGTGTCTGTGGACCGCGTGCGCGTGGCCCACACGTGGGAGCGGCGGCTCCAGAGGCTCTGGGAGTCCGTGCTTGTGAAGTGGCACTTCAGGTTTTCAGGGCGACAAGAGCCACACGCCAGGAAACACAAGCAGACAAGGCACCGCTGCTCTGTAAGCGCGCGGCCTCCGGGGCGCCCGCGTCTCCCGCTGAGGCCGCCGCTGCCCTGGGAGGCCGAGGCCGAGGATCCCAGCCACGGGCCCTTAGCTGCTGGGGGCTGAGCAAGAGGCGGCGGTCGAGGGCTGGATGGAGGCGGTGGCGGCCGAGGCGCAGCTGGGCCTACGGAGCATCAGCACAGGCTTCCCACGTGGACGTGGGGCCCACCCAGCAGGTGGACACGTGTTCACGTGGAAACCCAGGTGGTGAGCTCAGCGGTGGCCACAGGGACCCGGGAGCCGTCCTCCTCACAGGTGCTGGGCTGTGGCAGATGAGACTCACCAGGAACAAGGGCCCTCAAGTGGCGAGGAGCTCAGAAGTGCAGGAGGCAGCGCCAGCCCCAGCACTGTGGCAGCACTGAGCTGTGTGGCCCCTGGTGACCCCGAGCCAAGAGGAAGGGGCCCCGGGCCCTGGCACACCTCTGTGCCTGCAGCTGGAACCTTTGTTCTCGGGGCTCTGGCACAGCTGTGCCCTGTCTCCCTGGCCGAGGATTGTGCCGTGCCTGGGCACCTCCCACCTCCCTGTGCAGTGACGTCTGTGGACAGGACAAGGCTGTGCTTTAACGCAGGGCATCCCAGCCACGCCCCCACCCTGCCCAGCAGCCACCTGCCCCTGGTGTCTGCGCCACCCGCAGATGGGGTTGCTCGGTGGTTAGCGCTGCTGGAGCCAGAGCTACTGGCCCGGGCAGTGCAGCCGGAGCTCCGGCTCCGCCCTCGGGCTCAGGAAGATGCAGGGCCCTCTCACTGTAGCCACTGCTAATTAAAACGCATGTGGATGATGTGGTGACATAAGACGGGGCCATTAAAAGCCATTTCTGGTTTCAAAGTGGCCCTTTGCGATTGCGTGTTTTCTCAATTAAAATCCCCCTCAAGGTGACTCAGCTAATTGGTGGCAGAGCCCTTCAAAGTCCTGAGGAGAAACGTGCGGTCTAGTCGTATGCTCGTTACTGAGGCAATTAGCACATGCTTATGGGAGGGCCGCTGCTCCGTGCACAGCAGTGGGCCGTGTCGCCTTTAGCCTGTGGAGAAGACGCCCACAGGCGGCAGCGGCCAGCCTGGAGGTCAGGCCAGGTCGAGACACATGGCCCGCAGCCGGGGCCCCGTCGTGTCTCCCACCTCCTATTCCCCCTCCCCCTCCCTCTCTGCAGCTCATGTTTTATTAGGTTTTGCTGATTTTGCAGAAGCCCCAGAGGCTTTGTTGTTGTTAATCTTCACACAAGGATATTTTCCCATTGATCTTTTTAGAGAGAGGAGGGAGGGAGGGAGGGGAAGAAAGAGAGAAAGAAAAACACATGGGCTAGGTGCCTCCCGACTGGGGCTGGGGCACAGCGGGAGCGCACAGGCAGGCCGAGGGCCCAGCAGCACCTGGCGGAGCAGGTGTTACAGAAATGGCAGAACGAAAAGCAGCGCGAGTCTCATTTTTTCATAATAAATGTTTATGTTCAAATGTAATGGTTTCTTATTTTAAATAAGTAATTTTTTTTAAAGTTTCTCATCTGAATTTTGAACACATAAAGGCTAATAGACACAACAGAATTTAAAAGTGTGCAAAGAGCTCCTGGGGCCCAATCCGCAGGCGGAATTGCTGGCTTGCAGTGTCTTGCTCTAGAACCGCCCCTGAGACACGTGGGCAAACCCCGAGCCTCACTGTGTCTGCGGGTGTTCCCAGGAGGGTGGAGGTCGAGGTCCCCCCACCCCTGCTCCTGTGTGGAGGGAGGGGCTGTGGTCTGGCTGTAGGCCCTCCCCGCACAGTGTCGGTGGACAGGCGTGCACGGAGCCTTTGCCCCGAGGCCGGACTGAGCACCAGAGGGAGCTGGGCAGAGTGCAGGCCACCGGCACCGCGAGGCCGGGAGGGTGAAACAGGCCTGGTGAGCCAGTCTCCTCTGAAAGGCCACCTGCTCAGCACAGATGAACCCTGGGCCCTGCCGTGTGGTCTAGGGTCGGGGTGACTGGAAGTGAGCTGTGTGCGGGGACCTGCCCCTGTAAAGCCTCTCTCCTTGCTTCCTCAGATCCTTTGTCGATGGGTCCCCAGAAAGCCCTGGAAACCATCGGTGCCAACCTGCAGAAGCAGTACGAGAACTGGCAGCCCAGGGTAAGGCTCTGCGCGTCCTTTCTCGGGGGAATGGCAACTCCTGGTCTCAAGCAGCCTTTGAACCCAGGCGAGAGCTGTGGGCGTCGTCACCACGCAGTTGCACGCTTGGCCCCTCGCTGCACCCCTTCTGGCGCGCCCCGACCTGGCCAGTGTGTTGCTTATTTCGCTGAAGAGTGTCCCGTGTGGCGTGAGCTCATGGTGTGCCTTTCGCACAGGAAAGTAACGCCGGCCACTCGGCAGCTCCATCAGAGAGAGCCAGGTCTCGGGTCTCTGGTCGCGGAGGCCCAGGCCGGCCGTCAGAAGGTGGTGCCGCTGCTTCCTCTGTCACGCCCCCCCACCCCCCACCCCCGCCCCAGACCTATTCCCTTCGCCGTTCTCATCAGCTGGTTTGAGGATTTTAATGGGAAATGAGAAATGTTGGGTGTCTCCAGAGGTGCCTTTCCCTCCGCCCTGGGGGACGGGCCGGCTCTGGCGCCACCTAGGGGTGCGATGAGGAGAGCGGGGGGGCCCCCCCCCCCCCCCCCCCCCGGGTCAGCCTCCTGGGAGCGGACGGCCTAGGCCAGAGGCTCCCTTTGTGAACATTTACCCCGCGATCTGGAACCGGGACTCTGTACAGCACTTACATGGGAGGGAGGAGAGGACCTGGGAGCCAGCTGGTTCCTGCCCGAGAGGCCCGCGGTCCAGTCCCTGCTGCTCCCAGCGCTGGTGACTGTGGCGATGCATCGCATCCTCGAGGGCCCCTGGTGGTCACGTTTCTACTCAGTGGACGCCCGCTCGCTGCACTGAGATGCACAAGGCCGGGCGCTGGAGAGAGGTGCTTCCTGGACCGTCTCCGCGGCGCCGCCCTGGGTGGGGACGGGCGGGCGTCGGCCATCTCAGCCCCTCCGAGAGGAGAAGTCAGGGACCCGCCAGCATTGCCACAACCTGCTCTTCCCTCCTCCCTCTTCTCCTTTAGCTCTTCCTCCTCCCTTTCCTTGCTGTAGGCGACACAGAACCTCTGGTGAAGCTGGTTTGGGTCGGGAAGGAGTTGGAGAAACACGGGGCACCAGGCTGTCGGGCCCAGGTCTCCTTGCGTGGCGGCCGGAGCCGTTTCTGCGTAATTGACCCGCGTGCGCTGGGGAACTAGTTCCTCGGGCTGAATGTCAGGCTCTGTGCGCGTCAGTCTCCGTGGGAGGTGGAGAGAGGGTGCAGCCGCGTTTCCGCTGAGACTGGCGGTGAGGAGGCCACACTCAGTTCACGCGTTTGCGCCCAGCACTTCCCTGTGGGAGCAGAGATCATGAGGCCGAGCATGTAGGGGAATCTCGGGCAGGGCAGGCAGGGGGCAGGGCAGGGGCCAGGGCAGGGCCTGGCAGAGCAGGGGCAGGGCTGGACAGGGGGCAGGACCAGGCAGGGCAGGGCTGGATAGGGTAGGACAAGGCAGGGCTGGATAGGGCAGGGCTGGACAGGGGGCAGGACCAGATGGGACAGGTCAGGGCTGGATAGGGCAGGGCAGGGCAGGGGGCAGGGCTGGATAGGGCTGGGCAGGGCAGGGGGCAGGGCTGGATAGGGCTGGGCAGGGCAGGACAGGGCTGGATAGGGCAGGGCTGGGCAGGGCTGGACAGGGGGCAGGACCAGATGGGACAGGTCAGGGCTGGATAGGGCAGGGCAGTGCAGGAGCCCTGGGAGACGCAGTTGGTGGGCTCCTCTGCTCTCCCCAGAGGGTGCCCCCCACCAGCGGGGGGCGGGGCCACACACCCTCGGGCGGAAATCCGGTTCTCAGTGCTCGCAGGTCAGGGAACCGGTGACACCGTCCCCCGGCAGGTGCCTGCCCGAGCCCGTTGTGTCCGCCTGCGGCTGCACAGGGGACAGGGACGTGCCCACAGGGGCGGCGGGATCCTGCTCGTCTGTGCCTCCTGCTGGCCTTTCCTTCGAGGCGGGGGGGGGGGGGGGGGGGGGCCTCCACCCTCCTCGTTAGTGTTTTGTCAAAAACTGCAAACGGCTCACGTGTGCGTGCTGGTGGCTCGCGTGGCGCCTGAGTGGCCCCGCCTGCTGTCTGTGGGAGCGCTCATGTCCTGCGGCAGCATTTTATTTACCTTCCTGCTCCGGCCTCAGTCATGTTCTCGCTTCATCTTCCCGTCGTCACCGCTCCCGACAGCCTCCCGACGGCTGTGCCTGGCAGCCCGGGCCCCCCCCTCAGCCGCCGCCTCCCGCTGCACCGTCCTCAGAGGCGCAGGCCCTGGGCCTCCTCCTGGATGTGGGCGTGGGTTCTGCACCAGCTCCCGCCCGTGTCCACGCCAGCCCCCCCCCCCCCCCCCCCCCCCCCGGTTCCCGAGAACAGCGCTGTGGTCCCCTGCCTCCCTCAGTGGAGACCGACTATGAATGACAGGCAGGGGTGTCAGCCCAGCGCCCTGGGAGGCTCAGCCGGGGCTGGTCTCAGACTGTCCACACCGATGTGCTCGAGGGGCTGGTCGAGTCTGCTCTCCACACGCCGCTCCTCCCCTTGTGCCCCAGGGTCCTGGGCAGCCCCTGGCATCTGTGCAGCCCCCCGCCCCCCCACAGGGAGCGCACCAGGGGGCCTGGCGGCCACAGAGGGACATGGACTTGTTACGTCTGGCTTTGCTCCCGTAGAGATGGAGTGGAGGCAACCGCTTAGCCTGTAAGTGGGGTTTGAGCAGAGAAGAAAGCGAGGAAGTGTTCGCAGCAGGAGGCCCGCAGCCTGGGGCAGACCCCTCCCTCCCCCTCCCTCCCCTCCCTCCCCTCCCTCCCCCTCCCTCCCTCCCTCCCCCTCCCTCCCTCCCCTCCCTCCCCCTCCCTCCCCCTCCCTCCCCCTCCCAGGGGCGCTGGCCAAGGCCGCTGCCAGCACAGCAGGCGCTGGGTCCTGCCCAGTCACTCCGCTCCCCCGCTGGCTGCTCCCAGCTCTCCTATGCACTGACCTACTTGCAGGGCGTATTTTTAGAGGAACAGACCTGGCTCTGTCCCTCACAAGCCTCTCAAGGATAGTGCCTCTCAGTCCCTCACGGGAGAGTTCGTTCTGTGTGCGACAGACCGCAAAGGAGGACCAGCCGTCGGTGTGAGGCCTGAAGCGGTAGCGCCGGCTGGCCGGGCGGGCGGGCGGGCTACCGCGCCGGCTGGCCGGGCGGGCGGGCGGGCGGGCAGTTTCCCCAGCTGCCCTGGAGCGGGCGCAGAGCTCCGGGGGGCGTGCGGGTGGAAACGGTGCTGCGCTGTCAGAAGCCAGTCTGGAGCACGGAGAACGGGCGTGGAAGTGGAGGTGCCAGGGCGCCTGCCGTCTGCTCGCCATCTGTGCCTGGAAGAGGTGTCAGATGACACCCAGCCGAGCGGGGAGGTGATGGGTTGGAGGGACGGCGCTTCTGCTTCCCTGGATCTCATCTTCCACCGCGGCCAGCACCCTCCTAAACGATAGGGTGACAAATGGTGGAGATTTTTAAGAAATTGAGATAAAATTCACGTAACAAAATTATAAATGGGATCTTACAACACGTGGCTCATGTGTCTGACTTCCCCACTTAGCACAGCATTTTCCTAGTTCGCCCATGGGCAGGCGTGCTGTCACGTGTTTCAGTAATTCGGTCCTTTTTATCTTACAGCCGAGTAGTATCCCCATGCGCGCGGTGCTCACCCGCCCGATCACCTGCTGGTGGGCACGCCGCTCCCGCCTCTGGGCTGCGCACAGTGTGCGTGGGTTTCTCGTGGACGGTTCCCTTCCCTCGGGCCTGTGCCTGGGAGCGGAATTGCTGGGTCAGACGTGGCTCTGCTCTCCTCGTGAGGACTGCGCGCTTTCCGTTCCTGCGTCTTTCCCGTGTCTTCCTCGCCTCGCCAACACTTGTTATTTTCTGAGTTCTAAACGAGTATTATCATCACAGCCATCCTGTGGGCGGTTCTATGGTTTTAAATTGCGTTTCCTTAATGATGAAATATGTCGGACATCTTTTCATGTGCTTACTGGCCATTTGTCCGTCTTCTTTGGGAAAACGATCTATTCCTGCTGGTCAGGTTGGTAGGCAGGTCGCAGGATCCGGAAGTGGAAGGGTGGGCGTAGAGGGCGGGCCGGCAGGTAGGTGGACAGACGTAGATCTGCCATCTCCCCACCTTCCAGTCCGGGCCTTGAGGCTGTTCCTCATCTTTCTCGGTTCCTGTCCCCTCGTGGGGTCTTGCTCACGGATTAATTCCGCTCGGAAACACCCTCCCCCTCCCCTGCCCCTCCCTCCCAGCTGGTCTGTGAAGAAGCACTTAGCTGTGCTCCGTGTCCTTGACCTTGCGGTGAGGGGAGAGCCGGCTAAGGAGACGTGGGAGGGGGGAGCCTGGCGACCAGGGGGAGCGTTTGTCCCGGGGTCGCTCACGGGAGGCACCCGCCTCCCCGGGACCTGCACCTTCCCTGCAGGGACACGCTCCCGGACGCTAGACCCGAACGTGGTCTGGGTGTGAGGGCGCCGCTGCAGGAGCAGAGCTGTTCCTCCTGCACTTGGGAGCCCGCCGCCCGCCAGCTTTTGTGGTTTTCCCCGCCTCCTCGTCTCTGTCGGTGAGCGTATCTGAAGGGACATTTCTTGGGTTGGGCTGCCTTTCGGGGTCCCCGTCACCGGAGGTAAGTGGCTTGCCGGCTGCTGCCCATCGGCTCCAGCTCCCAGGGAGAGCCGTGGCAGGAGCTGCTGACGCTGCTGCGCGTCCGGACCCGCTCCTCTCCGAGTCACCGTGAAGGTGACCTGAGCGTTCACTGCAGGGACCTCCCAGCAAGGGCTGAGGCGGCTGGTCGGTGCACCCTGGGCCCGCGTCGTCTTTCATCTGGGGCGTGGGCGCTGCGTCTGTCGTCATAGTGTGGCCACCGCTGGGGGCTGTGTATTCCCAGTGGTTCCCCCCAGGAAGAGCTGTATTTGTTTTTTTTGTTTTTTTTGTTTTTTAAATATATTTTATTGATTTTTTACAGAGAGGAAGGGAGAGAGAGATAGAGAGTTAGAAACATCGATGAGAGAGAAACATCGATCAGCTGCCTCCTGCACATCTCCTACTGGGGATGTGCGCGCAACCCAGGTACATGCCCTTGACCGGAATCGAACCTGGGACCTTTCAGTCCGCAGGCCGACGCTCTATCCACTGAGCCAAACCGGTTTTGGCTGTTTTCTTTCCGTGTGAAATACTAGAAATATTGCCACTTGGTATTACCTGAAAGTTAGCTTTCTCCAAACTTGTGAAAACAGAGTATTTTTATGACTCACTCCTTCTCCCTGGTCTAACCTTGAGAAAACCTCGTTCCCTCTCCCTCCATCCGGTCAGCTAGAGACATTAAAGATGGGGTTAGCCCGGCTGGTGTGGCTCAGCAGTTGTTAAGCGACGACCTGTGAACCAGGAGGTCATGGTTCAGTTCCCAGCAGGGCACTGCCTGGGCTGTGGGCTCGATCCCCGGTGGGCAGCGTGCAGGAGGCCGCTGATCCGTGACTCCCTTCATCACTGACGTTCCTCTCTCTCCCTCCCTTCCTCTCTGAAACAATAAAAAGATGTGTATTTTAAAAGACGGGGATCCGAACACCCTTGTCCTCTCCGCCTGCGGAGACGTTAAAGGCGGGGATGAGGAGAGGCCCTCGGGCAAGTCACTGGTGTCGTCAAGGCCTGACGCAGGCGTGGCTGAGTGTAAGCGAGGCGCCTGCCCGTCCCACGCTGGCCACGCTGTGTCCCAGAGGCGGAGCAGGAGCACTTCTGCGTGGCTCGGGCAGCAGGCGCGAGGGAGCGCTTCGCACAGGAAGCTTTTTGCTGGCTGCCGTGGATAAAAGCAAGATGCCGCCCGCTGGCGGAGCCCCGGGGCCCTGCAGGCAGGTGGTGTGGGTGGATGGTTGGCGCAGGCGCTCGTCACGGTGTTTACCGGGCCTGTGCTGAGCCAGACGCCGAGTGAAGCCAAACAGGTCCTGCCCTTGTGGAGCGCAGGGCCCAGACCCGCCTCAGCGAGCGCTGCCAGTCCCCTGTCCCCAGGTGGAGGCTGAGGTTGCCCAGGCAAACTCAGTCCTGCCCAGCTCCTGCCCTACCACCGGCTCGCCTCTGAGAAGCGGAGGGAGCTGTCATCCTGTGAGCTGTGAGGAGCAGGCCAGCTCTCACTGGGGCTCGGGGGCGGGTTTTGGCCTTTGGGTGGAGGTGGCTGTGGGACCGTAGGTTCTGTCCCCAGGGACCTGGCCTCCTGGCCGTGGTCGCCCCTCATGTTGCTGGAAAAGGACTCACAAGGGGGCAGCACAAAGGAGAACCAGGCACAGCGCCAGCAGACGCATCCACCCTCACCCCTCATGCCGTGTGCCTGCCCTGTGCGCCCCCTGCCCTGCGTGCCCCCTTCCCTGAGCGCCCCCTGCCCTGCATGCCCCCTGCCCTGCGCACCCCCTGCCCTGCGCGCCCCCTGCCCTGCGCGGCCCCTGCCCTGCGTGCCCCCTTCACTGCGCACCCCCTGCCCTGCGTGCCCCCTGCCCTGCGTGCCCCCTTCCCTGAGCGCCCCCTGCACTGCGCGCCCCCTGCCCTGCGCGCCCCCTGCCCTGCGTGCCCCCTTCACTGAGCGCCCCCTTCACTGAGCGCCCCCTGCACTGCACGCCCCCTGCCCTGCGTGCCCCCTTCACTGAGCGCCCCCCGCACTGCACGCCCCCTGCCCTGCGTGCCCCCTTCACTGAGCGCCCCCCGCACTGCACGCCCCCTGCCCTGCGTGCCCCCTTCACTGAGCGCCCCCCGCACTGCACGCCCCCTGCCCTGCGTGCCCCCTTCACTGAGCGCCCCCCGCCCTGCGCGCCCCCTGCCCTGCGTGCCCCCTTCACTGAGCGCCCCCCGCACTGCTCGCCCCCTGCCCTGCGTGCCCCCTTCACTGAGCGCCCCCTGCCCTGCGCGCCCCCTGCCCTGCGCGCCCCCTGCCCTGCGTGCCCCCTTCACTGAGCGCCCCCCGCACTGCACACCCCCTGCCCTGCATGCCCCCTTCACTGAGCGCCCCCCGCACTGCACGCCCCCTGCACTGATGGTGGCGGGGCAGCTGGAGGCTGAAGCTTCCTCATGCACGTGAAGGTGAGGAGGGGAGGGGCTTGGTGCTCCTCAAACGGTTCTGTTTCTCTTCTGTTTGACCCCCTGGCAGCCTCTACCTGTCACCCATTTCCCTGGCCGTCGATGTTCCGTGTGCAGAGCAGCCCTGGGGACTGTTGGAGCAGGTTCTGTGGTCCAAGGACTGCAGTTGCTCTGTTTTTCGGCCAGAGCCTCGAACGTGCTGAGCGAGCTCAGAACAGTGTTTTCAGTGTCAGATGTCACTTCCTGCGCCCTGTTTTGTGAAGGGCAGGCTGGTGTCGATGACAGAAAGAGGCCCTGCAGCCCTGGAGTATGCTGGGCGGCTCCCTCAGTGCCTGTGTGTCTCTGTACACCCCAGTAGGGGCTGGAGCCAGAGCCACCTCCCAGACTCCCTGGCAGCTAGGCCCGCTAAGCAGCACTTATGCAGGCGGGCGTCTGTCGCAGGTTCCTGCAGAGGGCGAGGGTTGGGAGCTGCCTGGTCTGCTGGCACACGGTTTCTGGCAGCTCGGTCTGCGTTCTGCCCCCGCGGTCCTGCCCAGGGCTCTGACACCTGGTCATCCTGGGGCAGGAGGACGCTGCGGGCAGCAGGGCAGACTTCCTCGGCTCCTTCTCTGCCGCCTCCTCCCCTGCTCATTCCTTTATTCTCCTCTGCTGCCTCCCCTGAAATTCCGTGCACAGGTTTTATGACGTTTGGGCTCTGGACCCCAAGGAGCAATGCCTGGCACAATGGGCACTATCTCAGGCGCGCTGTGTCGTTCCCGCCCGGCCCACACGGTCATAAATCCCAGCAGGTCGCAGCTCCTGCCACTCGCCCTCGGCTGCGGGGCCATTGCCCCAGGCCTCCGCTCCCACGCAGCCTCGGCCGTGCGCTGACATTCAATTTACTCCTGCTCATTTCAGAGCCTTAAAAATATTAATTAATTCCCACGGAGCCCGGGAGGCACATTCCTGATCTCCGCAGCGCCTCTCGCGCCAGCCCGTTAACGCGTCCTTTCGGGCGCTCAGTAAGGAAACAGGCTGTCGTCTCAGTCGCCCGCAGCGGAGACCTTCGCAGAGCCACGGTCCCCGTTTCACTGCCGTCCCTGAGTGGTGTGGCCCGTGGCCGGGGGGAGCCCTCCTGTTCAGGATGTGCCTCGGGGCTCCAGGCAGGCCAGGGCTGGACGTCCCTGCAGGGGAGCCTCAGGCCAAGCGCCAGCAATGTGTGGACCGGGCAGTGGACTCCGATACCAGGAGCTGGAGCCTGGGGGGCTGGCCAGCCCCTGGGTTCTGTTTGGGCCCTTTTCCCTGCTGCCCCTTCTCAGCCCTGGAAGCTGCTCCCCCAGCGCTCCCTGCTCCTGGTCGAGGCCGCAGGGGAGACGTCATCAGTGGGTGGCGTAGATTCGCGTCTGCACTGCTCTCAGCTGTTCTCACACGGGGGGAGGGCCTCGGTTTGGGGCGGCTCTGCTCAGCGTCAGCAGTGCTTCTGAGGTCACACGCCGCCGGCCCCCGAGGGGCGCTCTGGGGAGGTTGCTGGAGAGCCGCCGGGTCCATGCACTGGGCTTCCCTCCAGGTGACCCGTGGCTGTTCTTGGTAGTAGTGATAGTGCTGGTGGCTCTCTTGTGCCCACAAGGAAAACGAATGGGAATTCAGACCCTTTTATGCCGTTAACATTATTCTGTGACTCAGCTCCCATCTTCCCGTTCCCTCCAGGAGCCGCCCGTGTGTCCTGGCCCTTCACGCTGGGGCCAGCGCAGCCAGAGCCGGCTCAGCGGGGCGCCCGCCCTGGGCCCATGGTGTGGCTCACGGTGCTGGCGTGCTCCTCTGCGCCCTTGAGTCAACGCTTTTTAAAAAATGCCCGTCACCATGCCCGGGTGTTTGTTCTCACTCACACGCAGACCGAAGTGGCGGCCGCGCTGTCTGGCCACCACGGAGCCCGATGCTGAGAAGCATCTAAATCCGGGCTGGCACCGGTCACGCGCAGTGGCTGGGCGTTTGGCTGAAACAGACTCGGGCCACTTTCTGGCCACGCGGCTCTTCAGTGCAGGCTCAGAGGGGGGCCGTCTGGGTGCTCCCGCAAACCGTTACGTTTCTGAATCTTCTCCTGCGACAGGCGCGGTACAAGCAGAGCCTTGACCCCACCGTGGACGAGGTGAAGAAGCTGTGCACGTCGCTGCGCCGGAACGCCAAGGAGGAGCGGGTCCTCTTCCACTACAACGGCCACGGGGTGCCCCGGCCCACAGTGAACGGGGAGATCTGGGTCTTCAACAAGGTGAGCGCAGCCTCAGGTCACCCGCCGGGGGGACACATCGGGGAGCTGGAGTGTCCCCAGCACGTGGCCCAGCCCTGCCCCAGGGCTCCGGGCAGCCTCAGGGAGCACCCGCCGGGGGGACACATCGGGGAGCTGGAGTGTCCCCAGCACGTGGCCCAGCCCTGCCCCAGGGCTCCGGGCAGCCTCAGGGAGCACCCGCCGGGGGGACACATCGGGGAGCTGGAGTGTCCCCAGCACGTGGCCCAGCCCTGCCCCGGGGCCGGCGCCTGCTGGGCTCCTCGTAGGAAGGCTCCTGGCTGGGCATTTTTCTGTGAGGGGCACGGGGCTGTTCAGGCTTCCTGTTTCTTTCTGGGTCGCTTCTGGTAAGTTGTATTTTTAAGGCATTTTCCATCTAATTTGACTTTTTAAAAGTTTGGCATAAATTGGTTGCTGTGTCCCTACCTTTTCGGTGCCTGTAGGGCCCGTGTTGATTGAAACGTGTTGACTGTGTCTTTTTATTCTCACTCTCTCTAGCTAGAGGCTTGCCCACTTTACCGATCTTTTAAAAACACAACAAATTTTAGCAACGTTAACTTTCTCTACCAGCTATTCTCTCTTTCACCCTTCATCCTCTTTATCTCCTCCCTTCTATTTACTTCAGTGTAACTGCTCATTGTCTAGCTTCTTAAGGCCGGAATTTGGATCTTAGCTTTAGCCATTCTTCCTTTCTCAGAAGGACCTGAGGCTGTGCCTTTTCTTGCAAGCACAGCTCTGGTCAAGTTTCAGCCCGTCCTATTTTCCCTTTGTCCTGTTCCGACTGTTTGTGCTTTCCCGTGATCTCTTTGTTGACACGCATGTTATTTAATCTCCAAATACTGGAGGGTTTCCCCGCTACCCTGTATCTCACATTCCGCGATCAGAGGCTGTGCCCCAGCCACTCAGGGGGTCATGCCCCTGAGGATGAGGCTCGCCCGGCCAGTGGGGCACGTGTGTGGCTCAGCCCGGGCGATGGGTGCGTCCAGTCCTTCTGTTATCAGCACTGACCTTCCTATTAGAAAACAGGTAACTGCTGTGTGGAGTCTTCTCTGGGGAGGTGCTTACCTATCGGCGCCGCCCAGGGGTTGTTCAGACCGGGCGCCAGGACTGTGGTGTGGTCCCTGGTCCCGCTGCAGCGGAGCTCCGTGTCCAGTGCGTGCGCATTCGGGGAGGGTCCTGGCGTCCGAGGGAGCCGCGCTCGCCTGCACCTCACGCCGCTTCCCGCCCTCCCCGTGAACTGGGCGCCTAGGACAGGCGAGGCTGCCACCTGGGGTCCTGGGACCCTGTTGGAGGTGCCCCCCTGGGTGCACCGGGCAGGACAGGCCGTGGCAGGCCGTGTGGCCGTCGGCTGTGAGTCACCCACGTGCTGTGTTTTGTTTCCAGAACTACACGCAGTACATCCCGCTGTCGATCTACGACTTGCAGACGTGGATGGGCAGCCCGTCGATCTTCGTCTATGACTGCTCCAACGCGGGCCTCATCGTCAAGTCCTTCCGCCAGTTCGCCCTGCAGAGGGAGCAGGAGCTGGAAGTGAGGCCGCGTGCCGGGGGCGGGGCCACGTGCCGGGGGCGGGGCCGCGCGCCGGGGGCGGGGCTGCGCGCCGGGGGGGCGGGGCTGCGTGCCGGGGGCGGGGCTGCGTGCCGGGGGCGGGGCTGCGAGCCATAAATGGTCCTGCACGCTGGGGGTGGGGCTCCTTCCTGGAGGCGGGACTGAGTACGGGGCGGGGCTGCACGCTGGGGGCGGGACGATGGGCTGCATTCGGGAGGCAAGGTAAGAGGGGCGGTCGGCAGGTGGGGGGGGACCTTTTTCAACAGGGAACTGTGTTAAGAGACTCCCCGGTGGGACACAACATCACGTCACAGTCTTCCTTCGTGTTCTCTGCAGGTCGCGGCCATCAACCCCAACCACCCTCTGGCCCAGATGCCCCTGCCCCCGTCCATGAAGAACTGCATCCAGCTGGCCGCCTGCGAAGCCAGCGAGCTCCTGCCCATGATCCCTGACCTCCCGGCCGACCTGTTCACCTCCTGCCTCACCACCCCCATCAAAATCGCCCTGCGCTGGTAAGTGGGCTCCCCCCCGCCTCTGCGGCACCCTCCCCCGCCAGCCGAGGCTCACAGGGCCAGTGTTTTCTGATTTGTTTCATTTTTGCCTCCGTCTTTCTAATGAACAGAAAGCAAAACCTTGAGTAATTCTGAAAATGAGCACATGCCTTGCTCTTCCCATAACTGGTCCCCTCCCCCCCTCGAATATCAATGCAGTGTGAGAGCCCACAGCACATCTTACCTTTGTTTTTTTCTTGGTCTTCGGTTGAGTGGCAGAATTCCATTTTAAATGCACATGGAGCACTTGTGCTTCCGAAGGTAACCCGGTCCCCAGCATGGGCGCCATGGCGCGGGTGACGCCTCTCGGCCCGCAGCACACAATCCGTTGTCTGCCGGGCACACAATGGATGATGGATGGACCGCGGTGGGAAACTTCCCATTACCCTGAGGAATTTGAAAGAGTTTAAATATTCATGGCCCATGTTGCCGTATCCTATCAGCACAGAAAATTGCTCCTGGGTTCGCCCAGCGAGAGGTGGCCGCGTGCAGACCCCGCAGGGCAGGGGTGCGGGCCCTGCCAGCGTGGTGTCGTGTGGTCTCATCTCAAACCCTCACCCCGACGTTTGCCTGGTGGGTTTTCTTGATGACTCACCGAGAATCAGAATGACCTTGGGACCTGAATCCCCACGGCTTCTCGGTGTGGGACTAATGGTTCGTACTCCAGCGTTTCCTAAAAGGCAGTGCCTGTGGGAGGACACGCTCTGTGCACCCCCTCCTTCGCCCCCCACTCTGCGCTGTGAGCCCTCCTGCCTCGGCCCCGCCGTGTCTGAGGACAGAGAGGTCGGGGCCTCAGCCGGGAGCAGTGCAGACAGAGGACAGAGTTGTCCCAGGTTTTCCCTGTGGTGACGTCAGAGCTTGGGCTCCGGCCGCAGGAGCAATGGGGCTAACAGGGAAAGGGTTTTCTCTGGAGGTCTCCACAGGGTGGCCCAGCGTGGCCTGGCTCTTCTGCTGAACCCCAAGATGGCTTCCGGGGATTTCAGCCTCTCGGGTTCTGTACCCTGCCCATGCCCCCCTTGAGTTAGTCGTTTTTCCCCCACACCAGACGGCGTCTGCCTCCCGACACGCACTCAGTTCAGATGAATGGCGTGGCGTGTCGCGAGCTCCACGGAACGTGGGCGTGCAAACCTGACTCACGGCGCTGAGAGGGATGGCAGCAGGCGCCGGGGCCACAGGGAGCGCAGGGGTGATGTTCCTGCGGGGATCCCCCAACAACAACCTCAGGAACCCAGGGAGCCTGGGGGAGGGCTCGAAGGGGAGGACAGGCCTAGGGCACAGCGCAGGAGGAAGGGCGGGGGACGGAGAGAAAGAGGGTCCTTTATGGGACATCAGAAGCACCGCCCACAGGCACACACGTGTGCAGATACACAAACACATACAGAGGCACACAAGTGGACAAATACACAGACACACAAATAGAGGGAGACACACACAGCGGCTCTCTCTCTCTCTCTCTCTCACACACACACACACACACACACACACACTGCAGATGGTTCAGAATGAAGCATCGGCAGGGAGCCTGCAGCACAGCGAGAACAATTAGCTCCGCGCCGGAGTCGTTCCAGAGGCGACGACGTCCTATTAGGCTGCCTATTAATGTAATTCATCATCGTAATAGGAGGACGGAGGACAGTTATTTGATAAAATTGAAAATGAATTTTAATAAAAACCTACAAGAATAGAAGCAAACTCCCTTTGCAGGGGGGAGGTTTTCTCTAGGCCGCAGCCTGCCCCGCCCCGCCCCCCCCCCCCCCCCCCCCCCCCGCCAAGCCTCCCTGCGCCCTGAATGCAGTGGGAGCTGCACCAGGGTGTTGGCCAACTTGGATCAGCCACCCGGCTCCTGGGAAGCGTGGTCAGTCCAGCAGCTGGATGAGCAGCGGGATGGAAGGTGCACATGTTCTGAGAGAAGCAGATGTGCAGTGTTTATGCGTGATCTGGGTTTCAACTTCGCAAAAAGCCAATAAACGCGTTGGAAAACTGTTAGCAGAAACACGCGTGTTCAGCACAGTGGCCTTTGGGCCGTGAACCGAATGTGCAGGCCCACATGGCAGTTAGGGGGCTGCCTCCAGAGGGCGGGGGCGGGGGGCATCCCTGGCAAGGAGCTGAGAGACGTGGAGAAGCTAAGGAAGGCGTTACTCAACACTGAGGATTTGGGGCACATGGCTAACCATTAGAAACCTAAAACCCTACCCTTACCTCAATGAGAGAAATTCCAAATATACCAAAGACTTAGGTGCCAATGAGGAAACGCCCAGGGAGTGGGCCGGGGGGACAGGGCCTGAGAGCCGGGGCAGGGGCGGCCAGGAGCCGCCCTGTGAGGCCTGCGGAGGCCCTGTGTCCCCCCTGCACACCAGGAGCCGCCCTCTCTCAGCAGGTGCGATGCCTGACCCAGCACTTCCTCCCCACAAGGCTGGCTCTGGGCACCAGGCCGAGAACCGGTGGGAGAGGGGCAGGGAGGGCAGCAAGCCTGGGCACCGACTGTCTGGAAGACATGAGATGCTGGGCTTGGCCAGGGCTGCGGCTCTCCCCGTGAGGACATTTGGGGGCGGCGGCATCTTCCCGCCGAGTGTCCGCCGCGTGTGACCGGTGCTATCCCCACAGGTTCTGCATGCAGAAGTGCGTCAGTCTGGTGCCCGGAGTCACGCTGGACCTGATCGAGAAGTGAGTGAGGCGGCAGGGCCGGGCGGGGCGGGTCTCCTTGCCCCCTCAGGCCCGTCCTGCGCGTGCATCCTGCTCTCCAGTGGAGGCTGTGTGTGGATGGCACCTCAGCGCCAGCCTAGGACACGCTCAGCTGGGGCCACTTTAAAGAAAGAGAATAAAAAGCCAAATCCTTTTGATTGTTTAAAAATCCTCCAATGCTGAGAGGGGCACACTACACGTCTGCTCCCTGCGGCATCCGTTCAGAGCCGGGGTCGGCCGGCCCCCGACTCCCCGCGTCCCCCCGCCCCATGTTCTGTCTCAGGCAGATGCCAGGTGCGGGCAGGAGGTGAACTCTGGCGGTTTGAGTTGCGTGACCTCTGCCCGTCCCTCTGGTCAGTGGGCTGGCTCGTCCGCTTCTGGTTGAGAACCGGTTCGGGTCTGACACGCATCTCGTGACCCTGCTCTTGACCTGGTCTCTGTGTGTGTGTTCGCCTCGCCTGTGGCCTCCCGAGTCGGGCAGGCGGTGGCTCAGCCCTGCTGCTCTGGCCACGGCTTCTAGGATTCGCACGGAGAGCTCGTCTCTAAGTCTTTCAATGCAGAATCGTGTGGTGAAACAGCCAAGGCCGAGTTGTTCCGCTTCCTTAATATACTTTTTATTGATTTCAGAGAGGAAGCAAGAGGGAGAGAGAAAAATGTCCATGATGAGAGGAATCATGGATCAGCTGCCTCCTACACAACCTCTCCTGGGGATCGAGCCTGCAACCCGGGCCTGTGCTTTTGACCGGAATCGAACCAGAACCTTTCCGTCCACAGGCCGACGCTCAATCCATTGAGCCACACCAGCCAGGGCCGAGGCTGAGTTTATTGAATGAGGTGGATGAGCAAGTCGGCCTCTGGGTCCCTCCCCTGGTCAGCGCCTTGCCCGTGAGCCAGGGACGTAGACGAGAACGCACGCCTGAGCCCTCCGCAGGGACCTCATGCTCCGCCACGGCGCACTCCTCCCGCAGAGGCGTGCTGCGTGGCCCCGCGTGGAAGGGCCGGCAGCCACGCGGCCAAGTGGGAAACGAGACCAGTCGCGCAGCAGGACACCAAGCAGCCTTCAGAGCAGGCGCTGCGGGACCTTGGGGAGGCAGGAGGCTGTGTCCCTGGTTGGTAGGGGAGGAGCCGTGTTAAGTGGCTGATTTTTTCCCACCTTTTAAAATTTTTTACAATAATGAGGGCACGTAGAATGCATGTGCACGTAAACTTGAAGAACCAACAAAGTACGAGTAGAGACCTATAAGCAGTGCATGCATGTAGAATTCTGTACATTCAAATGCACGCAGAGGCCGTGTGACAGCGTGCGACTCGCCCCGCATCTGTGCGTCAGGGCGCTGTGCACACGCAGACGGGCCATGTGGACGGGAACAACCAGCCTGCCCTGGGCCGGGGCCAGTGTGGGAATGGCGACCCTTCTGCTCGCGTTGCCGGGGTCGGCGCAGAGCCGGCAAGCTGACAGCGCCCAGCTCTGTGGGACGGCGCCGTGGCCCGGGGTGCTGGGCCGCCTGGTTAGGGTCCGGCAGGGGCAGCTCCGCAGGCTGTGACTGACCCGGCGTAAAGCCGCGTCCGGGGCAGCCTGTCCATCCTGCGGCGACCCCGTCAGGAGACAGGAGCGGGGCCTGCGGGCCGTGGGCAGTGGTCGCGGGCAGCTCCCCTGGCGTGCAGAGCCGCGCCCCAGGCGCCTGCTTCCTTCTCAGGAGTGTCGGTGTGACGCGGCTCCACGCGGCCGGGGCTGGTGACAGACGGCCTACGCGGCTGCCACACACGGGCGCTGAGCACACAGCGTGTCCTCGGGAAACGGCCCATGGAGGAGTTTTAGAAAATGAGCGACCAGGTCTGCCTGGTCGGGCGTCTGGCCGGCTGGTTTCTTGAGATTTCAGGGTCCGGGAAGCTGCCCGCTTCCCAGACGACGCTGGGCGCTGTCCTGGCGTCTCCATCTCCCTCCATTTCTAAGTCACGACACACCGATCCCTGCCCTGCATGTTCCTTACACACGTGATTCCTCAACGACATGCGTCCGGGTGGATCCCAGCAGCGACACCTGGTGGTGGCAAGGGTGCTTCTCACACGCGCAGCCTCTCCTGTGCTCGTTTCTGTGGTTTGACCTTGGCCTCCCGATGACCTGGAGCGCGCAGAGCCCTGCGGCCCCTCCTCTGGTTACTGGCCAGGAGCCTGGCGGTCAGCGCCTCGGCCCCCTGCTGGCGTGTCCCCGGCAGGGGGGGGTCCTCCGGCTCAGGCCCTGCCTTGATCCCGCCCGCGGTCGGACAGCCAGCCCGTCCTCCACGGTCCCGGTTTAAAACGTGAGCAGCAACTTCATCCCCAGAACATGTGCCACAAAAGGGAAGAATCGGTGAATTGAGCTTCATCAGAAGGTACCATGTTCACCATCTGCGGGCACCGCTGAGCGCGAGCGGACAAGCCCCGAGTGGGGGATGACGTGTCATCACACAGCTGACAACGGGCCTGGATCCCAAGGACATGAAGCTAACGCCCCAAACGAGCAGAAACACCCCGTCAGCACGTGGGCAAGAGGCCTGGGAGACTGTCCCCGAGAGGGCTGGGCGCCAGCACGCAGGTGAGAAGATGCCCGCATCCTGCAGCGGGAGGCAGGGGGAAGCGAGCGAAGACTGCAGCGAGGTGCCGCGCCCCTGTCGGAGCCCCAGCGTGCAGAGCGGGAGCGCCTCGGGGCCGCCACTGGCACTGCCCGTGGGACGGGGCCCGCGGCCCCTGGAGAGTGGCCAGGGGCTCGGGGCCCAGTGGTCCACTCCTGGGTGCTCCCAGCAGCCCGGCGGGATAGCCTGGACGCCCGTGGGTGGGCTGTGTTTATTTTTTACGCCGGGACCGATGCTAGACTCTAGGACTCTGGAAATCCCACGTGACACGGCCGCGGACACCAGGCAGTGCCGGCACGTGCTCCAGGTGCTCCCGGTAAGTGTCGGTCCTCGTTCGGCAGCTGGCGGAGCTTCTCCTTGGAAAGAAGCTGCTGCCCATTTCTGTCTGAAAGCCTGTTAATGTGACGTCGGGGGACACCTCACTATCTCACCCCCTTCACTCGCATCTTCTGGAGATTTCTTCTCGAAACATGCAGCTCTTAGTCCCGGCTTCGACCCCGGGGCTGGTTTGGGCTGAACCCACTGCGTCAGGGCCACCAGGGGCTCCATCAGGCGCATGACTGACTCCTGGGAACAGCAGCCGGCAGCGCAGTTCCGGCCGCCCTGCCCCGCCCCTCAGAGGGCCAGGGAGCATCTCTATGTTAAAGTTTGTAAGTAGCTGGTGTTTGGAGGAGCCATGGGCCATTTCAAAATATATAAAATGTTACTAGTTTGAGAGACGTAAATAAAGTGACTGCACGGTGTTGACAAAGCTGTCGGAGTGGCTGCGGGTGAACCAATTCCGATGATCTCCGCGAGCCGCGCGGACAGTGGCAGCAGGGCCCACGCGTGGACGTTAAGGGACGTCTCTCAGCTCTGAAACGAGGTGATGAAACCCTGAAGCAGCGCTGGAGACATGGTGCTCGGACAGCTCCGGGATCCAAGCGCGGAGCGGGCAGGAGCATTCCTCGTGGCCGTCTGTTGTGTAACCGCATCTTCAATAGCTCAGGGCGCGTTTTCACAGCCCAGGGCCCCGAGCTCCAGGCCAGAGGGCAGGGCCAGGGCCTGGTGGGCTCACTGGAGCTGGTGCTGGGCGTGGAGAGCAGTCACCGTGGTTCTCGTGGCAGAGACTCGGAGAAGAGTCCCGGGAGCATGGACGGGCGCCTGCTGTGTGTGCCAGGTCTGCCTGGAGCTCTCCGAGGCCTGCCCGGGCCTCTGAAGGGAGGCTCCGCACTAAAATGGGAGCCCGGGCAGGTCCCCTGGCGGCGCTGGAGCGGGGCTTGGCCCAGGCCTGTGCGCGGAGCCCAGCGTCGCTGTCCCCAGGGAAGGGGCCGTCCTGCCCTCAGCCAGCGCGGTGGAGGGGCTGCGGGGGTGGCCGGGCGGCTCCGTCGCTGAGGTTGGGATTCTCTCTGCTGTCGGGTCGGCGTCGGGCCAATGTGTCATGTTTGAAAGGAAACTATGAACAGCTCCCTGTCTTCACTCAGCCGGAGCCTCTTTCCAACATAACATCGTGTCGGCGGGGAGGTGGGGAGTCAGGAGCCCGTCAGTGCCCCACGCGCTGGTGGGTGAGTGGTGACGCGGGAGCTGATTCAGACGGAAGTGGGACAGCACAGCCCAGAGGCCGCGGGGAGGGCGTGCGTGATGGTGGGAGTGCGCTGTGGGGATGGAACAGCCACGGCCCTCCTGCGCCACCGTCTCCCTCAGCCACCTCCATCTGTCAGCTCAGCGCCCGGCTGTCCCCGGACCAGGGTGCTGGGCGAGGGCTGGACCTGAGGGGCGCACAGTCCCATTGTGTTGGACACTCACCCCACGGCCGCCGCCTGGCTTGTCCTGATGAGCCCTGTGAGGGGCTCGGCTCAGAGCGGAGCTGTGGACCGAGGTGCCGAGGCAGGGAGAGCCTCGGTTCAGGGGCCTGGCGCCTGCACACACTGGCTCATCCCCTCACGGGCCGGCACCCCGCCCTTGTCATCAGAACAAAGGCCACAGAGGCTGTTTCCATAGCTGCGACATGGGGTGCGGTTCCGCCACCCAGCGGATCTATCCGGATCCACCAATGCCGTCCCCTGCCGGGCCCCCAGGACTGCGCTCCGGGACATGCTCTGACCCCAGGAAACGCACAGAAAATCCACAGGGCGATGCTCCCGGCCCCGGGCTCGGACTGACTTCCGAGGGGCCCTGGAATCTGCCTGTTTAGCAGAGTCTGTCTTCCTTGTGTCAGACGCGTTGAACAAGCAGGTGGGGACCTGCCCTTTCTCCTCGAGCCTGGTCTCCCTGGGAGCCCCCTGCGCAGCCTCTGGCTCGGGGACGGGGGCAGCTCCTTATTGTGCAGGAACGTCAATACGAGGCGGGGTAGCTCCGGTGGCTGTTAACTCCTGCTCACCAGTGAGCCGTGGAGATCATCACCCCTCTTCCTTCCGAATTTAACAACACTTTTCTGCCTGTGCTCCACAAGCCGGTGAGCAGCCCGTTCTGCGGGAGCTGTTGTAGGCAGAGCGCGGCCAGGCCGCACCCGCGCAGGAACGGTGGGGCTGAGGGACTCCCGGGCGTGTAGCCAGCAGGCGGTGCGCTGCCTGCGCGGCTGTGAACATCGGTCGGCTTCTCGAGTGGGTCGTGCGAGTCTGCCGCTCGCCTCGGGCTCTGCTCGCCCCACGGCCTTGTGTCCTGGAGAGGCTGCCCGGGGCCTCGTTCACGCTGAGCCTTTCCCACTGCGGGTCTGCCTGCGCGGCCTCAGCAGGACAGACACGCCGTTTCCCAGGAACACGCTGCTCCCGGGCTCTGTCCGAATGTGTGTTGGCGTGTGGCGGTGTCACCAGGGGAAGTGCGTTTCTTGCTAGGACTTGTGTCCACGTGTGCATCCGTCCGTGTCCGCGGTCCCCTGAGCACCTGGTCGTCCTCTCCTCACATGACAGCACAGCCGAGGGGGGAGACAGCCCGGCGAGAAGGCAGCCGTTGGCTCGCTGGGCAGAGCGCCCTCGGCAGACCCTCACCTTGCTGGCACCTGACCATGGCCTCTGGTCTCCAGACTCTGAGAAATAGATCCCGGTTGGTTGAGCCGCCCAGTCTGGGCATTGCATCATGGCCGCTCGAGCTGACCAGGCCACGGTGCCTGGAGGTTTTCCATCGGCCACTGCACCCCCCCTCCGCCCTCCCCTTCTGGTCCTCCGAGGCCCTGCACTGCCTGTCCACACCCCATCTTCTCTCTCCTCCTGCTGGCCCTTCCGCATCCTGAGCCCTCCCCTGCCTCTCCAGGCTCTCGGGGGTGCTGCTCAGCCCCCTGCTGGTTTCTTCATACGCGGTATTCATAGGTTCTTGAAATCCTGGTTTGCAGACTTTCACAGTCCCCAGCTCTCTGCCAGCGTCCCAGCCTCTCGTTTAATTCCGTGGACATCTCCAGTGCAATTACTGTCGCAGCTGATCTCACGCGGTCCGCGTCCTCGTCCTCTCTCCTCCTCTTGGCTGTGTCTCTGGTGTCGGTGCCGGGAAGGCCCGTTGGGCTGGCAGTGAATGCTGCGAACTGGACATGGACATCGTACCGGGCCTCGGGGTGGCTGGAGGCGTGAGGTCTGAGTTGTTTCCAGCTCATGCCCAGTCCTGGCTCAGAGCCCATCTCCGCGGCAGCCCCTCCCCTCCCTGCCCTCCAGCCAGGGGCCTGCCGGCCGCTGCTCCGCCTCTCAGCCCTGCGTCAGGACCACAGGTTCAAGGCTGGGCTTCCCTCGGGCCTGGCCAGCCCTGCCCTGACATCAGAAAGGTTCCCCAGCCTGTCTGGCTGCCTCCGCGGGAGGCGGGTGAGTCACCTCGGCTGCCACCGCCAGGAGGGAGCCCGGGACACGCGGGCGCAGCTTCCTCAGGCCCGGCAGCAGCCCTGCGGGCGGCACAGCGCTGCGCAGAGCGTCTGAGCCAGTGACGAGAGTCGGAGCGCTTCCTGCTCCAGCAGGCGCGGCGGCACTTCCCACCGGCTCCCTCGCTGCCTCCTCCTGGCCTTCGCCCGCAGGCGCTGTCCCCCAGCCGTCCCCCAGCCCCGGGCAGCGGGAGGAGAGGCCCCTCCTGCTAACAGCAGCGCCCACACCACGCACGTCACGCTCGGAGACACGGGGCCGCGCTGAAGGGGCTCCGACTGTCCTCCCCTGAAGCCCGAGGCGGGCAGCGGGCCTGGTTCTGCACGGCTTTGGGCAGGAGGCCCGAGAAGCAGTGACACGTGTGACTGGGTTGGTTCCGGAGAATGTCAGCCAATGAAGAAACGTTTCCAGAAAATGTGCTGGCGGTGGTGGTCCCAGCCTCCCCGCGGGGCTGTCTCCCGGGCCGACCGCGGCCGTGTCCCACGCTGGACGCGTGCAGGGCCAACCGCGGCCGTGTCCCACGCTGGACGCGTGCAGGGCCGACCGCGGCCGTGCCCCACGCTGGACGCGTGCAGGGCCGACCGCGGCCGTGACCCACGCTGGACGCGTGCAGGGCCGACCGCGGCCGTGACCCACGCTGGACGCGTGCAGGGCCGACCGCGGCCGTGACCCACGCTGGACGCGTGCAGGGCCGACCGCGGCCGTGTCCCACGCTGGACGCGTGCAGGGCCGACCGCGGCCGTGACCCACGCTGGACGCGTGCAGGGCCGACCGCGGCCGTGTCCCATGCTGGACGCGTGCGGGGCTGGTGTCAGCGTCGCACCCGACAGAGAGCATAGGCCCAGCACACAGACCCCCCAGGGCTCCTTCGAGACGCTCACTCCCCTCCCGCTGCTGCCCAGCTGGGAGTGTTTTCAGCATAGATATGTCGCTCAGTACAGAGAGGCCATAGAATCGGCGTCACCGTGTCCTTGCCAGGCAAGCGTCAGGGGTAGTGCTGGGTGCAGCCCTTCTCTCAGTGTGTTTGTGAGGTTTTGTTTTGGTTTTGTTTGTGTTTGTGTTTTGGGTTTTTTGTAGCTTTTTAAAAAATATATATCATTATTGATTTCAGGGAGGAAGGAAGAGGGAGAGATAGAAATGTCAATGATGAGAGAATCATTGATTGGCTGCCTCCTGCACACCCCACAGTGGGGATGGAGCCCACAACCTGGGCCTGGGCCCCGACCGGGAATCGAACCGTGACCTCCTGGGTCACAGGTGGACGCTCAGCCCTGAGCAGGCCGGCCCGGCTGTGAAGGCTTTCACGTAACAAGGACGCAGCGCCCCTGCACAGTGTTACGTTGACTCATCTAAAGTGACCTGGCTGTGCACACAGGGACCCCTGGAGGGGTGGTCGGTGCCAGTGTGTCCGGTCGCCCTCAGATGATGGCACTTGGACGATTGTCTACCTTCTTATCACTGGAGTCGCTTTAGGGAGTTTGTATCGTTTGCTTGGAAAGTGGCAGGCAGAGGTGCCGGAGCGGCCAGGCCCGCACAGCGGGGCGCGACCGGCCTCTGTCTCTGCCGCCCTGTGCCCTGCCTGGCAGTCCGTGCGGCCCGTTCCTGCGGCCTCAGCCTCAGTGACGCGGCGGCTCCAGGGCCGGGACGTCCCTCAGGCTCCGGTACAGACGGGGAACAAACTCCACTGCTGAGAGAGTTAACGTGCCCGTGACGGCGCAGTGTGGGCGGCCCAGGCCTGCGAGGCGTCGGTGGCGGGCTGCCCACGCTTTCCCGGGAGCTCAGTGAAGGCCAGTGGACCTTCATGGGGGGGAGGGGGGAGGGCGTACATTTATCCCTGCGATTGTCATAGTCAGAACTCAGAGCGACCCTGACATGGCCTGGGAGCAGCTGGGCCTGCGTCCCTGCCCCGGGCTGACGGGAGCTGCTCAGGGCTGTGCGCCTGCAGGTCTGGAGACAGACCTTGGTCAGGTGTCTGTCCTCAGGAGCGCCATCCTGTCACCCGCCCCCCCCCCCCGAACCCCTGCGGCCTCCGGGCCCCGCGCAGGAGGGCGAGGCTGAGCCAGGCTCACTTGCAGACGGACGAGCGTCACCCCGAGGTCTTTCCTTCTCTCGGTGGCGTCCTTGCTCGCGCTGCGTGACGGTGACGGTGTCGTGTCACTTGGTCGGAGAGCAAGCGCGCCCCGTGCCGTCACAGCATCCCCCACAGCAGCTTCGGGGCCGCAGTTACTTCCTCGTGGCTGTGCCCTCGTGACCCCTCTCCCGTGTGGGTGACGGGCTGCTTCTGACGCGTCCCTGCTACGCACGTGTCTTCCCCTCGGGTTCAGGACGGAGGTCGGCTGCGGGCAGGATCTTAGTCTGTGAAACCTTATAAAGTTACACTCTCGCCTCCGGCCACTTCCTGGGGACTTCCCTGCGGGAGGAGGAGGGTTTTCTGTGACTGCGGGGCCGCAACGAGCTTGCTGTGCGGCGGGCGGGGCACCCACGCTGCAGGTGGCCGGCTGCCTCTGCGGACATGCCCGCCCAGGTTCCCGGCCTCACAGTGAGCCCCTGCTGAGTCCGCAGCCGTGGCTGTTCCGCCGTCGCTGACGGAAATGCATGTGTCTCCTAGGATCCCCGGCCGGCTCAACGACAGGAGGACGCCGCTGGGCGAGCTGAACTGGATCTTCACGGCCATCACAGACACCATCGCGTGGAACGTGCTCCCTCGGGGTGAGGCACGAGAGGGTCCGAGGGGTGAAGTGGGTTCTCGCAGGCAGAGAGCTGGCGGGGGCGGGGGGGGGGGGGGGGGGGCGGGCGGCAGGCGCAGGCACCCGGGGTTCTGTGGGGGCGCCGGTCAGGGCTGCGTGGTGAGGGGAGCTGCGCGTGCCCCTGCTCTGACCGTTGCCAGTGTCCTCCCCGCCGCTGGCCGTGTCCACGCTGCCTGACGCAGCTGCCAGGAGCCTCGCAGCGGCCGGGGCTGGACGTCGGGGCCTCTGGCTGGAGCTTGGGCGTGCGTCCTGACGGGGCCGCGTGTCTCGCCCTCAGACCTCTTCCAGAAGCTGTTCCGGCAGGACCTGCTGGTGGCCAGTCTGTTCCGCAACTTCCTGCTGGCGGAGAGGATTATGCGCTCCTACAACTGCACCCCGGTCAGCAGCCCGCGTCTGCCCCCCACCTACATGCACGCCATGTGGTGAGTCCCGGCTCCGCCTGCTTCGGGCCCCGGGGGTAGCCAGGCGCTCAGCTGCACCAGGAGGGTCGGCCCACCTGTGCCCAGGGTTGCCAGCTGCTGCCCCAGGCCCGGGCGTCTGGTGGGTTCTGCAGAGCCCATGGTGAGACCGAACCCTCAAACGGCAGAGCGCCCTCCCTCCTCATGAACAGACCGGAGTGTGTGGGTCCCGGGGGCCCCGCCCAGGTGGTCAGAGCGACACTGGGGCTAAATGATGGACACCAGGCTGCGATCTCCGAGGTGTGGTGGGAGGCGGGGTTTTAGCGGGAGGAAGGGAGCCGAGCGCAGCGAACACGGAGTAACACCGTCCCGTCCGGAGCCCTTGCAGTTCTCGGCGGTCATGACCTGTGCCCTCTGAGCCCAGCGAGGGTGCCTGGTGCCGACTGATCCGTGTGGGCCCGTGTCCTGAAAGCCCAGCTCTGGTCTGGGTGGCCCGTCCTCCAGGTGGTGGTCCGTGGAGCACCCAGCTGCCCGTGGGGGGCGGGGAGGGACCGAGAGGGAGGGGAGCCTGAGTGCAGGACCACCACGTGGGCCGGGCCGTAGGGGACGGGAGGCGGCGTGAGCGTCCCTGTCCCTCCGCTGGCAGCCCCGCCGAGCCCCCTGCCGTCTCGGCTCCCAGGGGAGCCCGCGGGGAGGTGGAGCCCAGCGGCGAGGCCCAGAGTGGTTGTGTGGGGCCCGGGTGATGGGCCCGGGTGCTGACAAGCCAGCCCTGACTCCGTGGGCACCGCGCGGGCTTTGGGGTTGGTGGGGGCCTCAGACAGACCTCCTTTCTCCCGGCCTCACACTGGCCTGTTCCTAGGGAGGCGCGTGGCCTGGCCTGCGTTTCTCGGTGCCGGTGTGTGACGCTGCCCCTGCCTCGCTGGGCAGGCTGCGCGCGGACGCTGCTTCAGGCGGTGGGAGGGGTCCCTCTGCTGTTCCCAGGCCTCTTTCTCATTTCAGCTTGAGGAGAAAAGAGCTACAGACAAATGGCTTTAGCTCCTCTGCCTTCCCGGGGCCTGGCCCCGCTGCTGCCCTGCTCCGCCCTGGGTCCTGGCGGGAGCCGGTCAGTGATGCCCTGTGTCCTCTGCTCTCTCCCCAGGCAAGCCTGGGACCTCGCCGTAGACATCTGCCTCTCCCAGCTGCCCACCATCATCGAGGAGGGCACTGCGTTCCGGGTGAGCCCCATGGCGCCCTGTGGGGCCGCCCTCTGACCTGGTCTCAGTGCCCATGGGGGTGGGGACGGGACTCGCGGTGCCCTGCACCCACCTGCACTTAGAGCTTAAAAGATGTGGGTCTGTCCCTGGCCAGTGTGGTCAGAGGATAGGGCATGGGCCCCGCCCACCAAAGAGTCAGGCGTGTGCGTGCAGGAGGCAGCGGCCTGTGTCTCTCACGTGGATGTCTCTCTCTCTCCTCCTCCCTCCACTCTAAAAATCAGCGGGAAAATACCCTTGGGTGAGGATTAACCAAAAAAATAAAGACAGATGTGCGTCCACTGGGGGTCAGCGTTAGATTGGAGGCGGTCAGCTCTGGGAAGCCCCGTCTGCTGAGGCGCTGCTGTCGTACCTGCTCTCCTCGCTGGCACCCCCGCCCCCGCCGCCTCCAGCCGGGGGCACTGCACCCCAGCGCCTGCAGCCTGGCTGCCTCCTTCGTCCCTCCCCTCCCCCGCTGGCGACTGGGGTTGCACATGAAAGGGACTTTCCTTGAGCTGCTGTCCTGTGTGCGTTGCCCTGACCGTGGACGCGGTCAGCAGCTCCGTGTCTTCCTTGGCCCCTGGTGGATCCTCTGTAACCTGCCTGTTGAATCTGTCGGTTTCCTCTCCTGCCCCCCGTTTCTCACCGATGGGAGCTGGTTCGGGCTGCGCCTCACGCCATCCGACTCCTCTCCGGCGCCAGCACGCGGCCCGATAGGTGCCGGCGTCATGAAGTGACCGCCGCGAGGCTCATTGTTTAAACTGGACGTTTGTCCCCTTGACCTTCACGGTCACCTGCCCCGACCCGTCCCTCTGCTGACCGACCTCCAGTGTGCGCTCCAGCCCATCGGTGTGGCTGTAAACAGTATCTTTTTAAATTTCATTTTCTATTTTCTCTTTCTTTTTCTATATATTGGTCACAAGTGACTTTGTATAGCAACTTCATTAAAGTCACTTCCTCATCCCAGTAGCTTTCCTATAACTCGCTGGCCCGTCGTCCAACGCACGCGGCCGCTCTCGGGAGCCTGAGCCCATGCTGGGCGCCCGGAGTGCCAGCTCCCACTCCCGCTCCTGCCGCACGGCAACCCCACGGCAGCTCCCCCGGGGCCTTGCCTCTCTGCCGGACGGACGGACGGACGGACGGTCAGGAATGCTCGTGTCCCTGGGCGGAGCCGTCTCTCCCGTCTCTCCACGTGGGCTCCCTCGGAGAAGGGCCCAGCAGGCGGGAGAGACCCCGAGTTCTCCGCTGCCGACCCCCCCAGAGCCAGGGCTCCGTGGGCCGTGCTCTCCCGCTGCGGCGAGGCCGCTCTTAGCAAGGTTGTCTTTTTAAGCCGATTTATGAATAGCTCACGCTCAGAAACAGGAGAGCCACTCGGGGCTGCATCCCTGCCCCGACTCCGCACACGTGATGGACGTGATGGCGCTGACGCTGCAGGAGCAGGAGTCCTGAGGTGGCGGGTTCTCTGAACCCTCACGGCACACTCTGCCCCGGACACGGTGCTCTGGGCGCAGGCCCTCGGAGAGCGCGTGGGGTCAGTCACACGGCTCCCCCCACAGGCTTCCCCTGCAGCGTCCGCCTCAGTTCATGGCCCCTCCCGGGCTCGGCCGCCTCCCTGCCCGCATCTAGTCTGCACAGGGCAGACCCCGCCTCCCAGCTCTGCTCCGGCCGCACCCCGCTCTCCCACGGGGATGGCGGCGGCCATGTGGCGTGGGGACGGAATTGAAGGAGGGGGCGTGTGGAGTAGAGGAAGGCGGGTCCCTAATGCCGTCCCTCTGCCTGTCCACAGCACAGTCCGTTCTTCGCTGAGCAGCTGACCGCCTTCCAGGTGTGGCTGACGATGGGTGTGGAGAACAGGAGCCCCCCCGAGCAGCTCCCCATTGTTCTGCAGGTGAGGCCTCGGGAGCTGGAGACCCCGCAGTCTCTGGGGACAGCGCCCCCCTCGGCACGAGCGGGCGTGGGGCTCACCCTCTCACTGGGCTGCGCCGGCGCAGCGGGGGTGGGGAGGTTGTCACAGGAGTGTCAGGTCACGGGCGTGCAGGTGTCGGCGGAGCTCAGTGAGCGTTTGTCCCCACGGGCTTTCCCGCCCTCCATGGAGCCCCGATTTGGGTTGTAGTCATCACCCCGCTGCTCCTTGCTTCTCGGGGCTGATGGAGCGCCAGCCACTGTGGCCTCTGGGAAACGGGAGCGCGAGTCTCCTCATCCGCCGGCCTGAGGACGTGGCGCACTTCCTTCCTCCGGCGCTGGCTGGGGTGAGGGACCACCCCTCCCTGGGCCCCCTGTTCACCGTCACCACGGGGACACAGCGCCCTCGGGCACGGCCTCTCCCATGTCGCCCGCGGACCCTGAAGGCACCGGCAGCAGAGCCGCGGCCCCCGGGGCTGGGCTGTGGCCGAGTCCGCCGGAGCCGTCAGAGAAGGGACGCGGGGAGCATGAGACGCAGCCCAGCAGCCGGCGTGACGTCCCGAGACGCCTGCGCGGCCTTGGGCTGACCGCTTCTTTCCGATGGAGATGAGAGTGCAGGGAGCCACGCTCCGCTCCTGTGTCTGATTCGCTCAGGGCCGCCTGCGCTCGCAGGGTGAGCTGTGACCAAACAAACGACGAGAAGAGCAATAACAAGACAAAGAAGCGGCCCACGGCAGGGCCCAGGCTTCCTGCCGGGCGAGTGCTGCACGGCGGCCAGTGCGAGTGTGCCGACAGGCGGGCGTGGGCACGCGGTGGCCCTCGCACTGGCCTCCCTGTCATGTCAGCAGCGGGGCCGACGCCGGCCGTCTCCCGAGCCGGTGCGGCGGGCGTGTGGAGCCGGTTCTTGAGTCTGGCAAGCAGCCTGCTGTAAATGGCCTGCCATCGGTGGGTCTCACGCCCTGTTTCCGCCTGCACTCCCTGGGGACGGACACCCACAGAGCCGCTCGCCGATCTGGAGGAGGGAGGGGACCGAAGGGAGCAGGGGCATCTGCGTGACCTTCCACAGCGACGGCCGGTCCTGCTCGCCCCGGGCCCAGGGGTCCTCGCGGGAGCCCGGTTAGGCGACCGAGGAGGCGGCGCCAAGAGCCTGAGTGAACGTGGGGCAGGTCGTGGATTCGTCCCCCACACCCATGCAGCTCCCCAGCGTTGGCTGCTTCCCGCAGGTCCAGGGCAGCTGAAACGGGGATTTTTTTAAAATATAAACACAAAAGCCAGTCCTGCTTGTGAAAGCCCCTCATCCTGGGCTTCGGTTTCCTACAGCCCAGTCGTCCCGGGTGGGAAGGCAGGGAGCACCCGTCAAGGGCAGGTTTCCCAGAGCCGTCACGGAAGGTCCCTCATGCAGCTACCGTGTTTGTTCCCATGCCTCCTGCGTACCATGTGGCCTGCGGGTGTACCTGTGTGACCTGTGGATGTACCTGTGTGACCTGTGGGTGTACCTGCGGGTGTACCTGTGTGACCTGTGGGTGTACCTGTGGGTGTACCTGCGGGTGTACCTGTGTGGCCTGTGGGTGTACCTGCGGGTGTACCTGTGGATGTACCTGTGTGACCTGTGGATGTACCTGTGTGACCTGTGGGTGTACCTGTGTGACCTGTGGGTGTACCTGCGGGTGTACCTGCGGGTGTACCTGCGGGTGTACCTGTGTGACCTGCGGGTGTACCTGTGTGACCTGTGGATGTACCTGTGTGGCCTGTGGGTGTACCTGTGGGTGTACCTGCGGGTGTACCTGTGTGACCTGTGGATGTACCTGTGTGGCCTGTGGGTGTACCTGCGGGTGTACCTGAGGGTGAAGAACAGTGTCTCCTGGCCTCTGAGCGGAGCAGCAGGGACGGAAGCCCCTGGGTGGGCCACGGTGCAGGACACAGGGCTGATCCGAGGGACTGGCCTCGTGCCTGCACGGCCTTGCAGTGGTGCCGCCATGACACCTCCTCTCTCTGCAGGTGCTGCTGAGCCAGGTGCATCGGCTGAGAGCCCTGGACCTGCTGGGCCGGTTCCTGGACCTGGGCCCCTGGGCGGTGAGCCTGGTGCGTTTCTGCTGCGGGTACAGTCAGAAGGGACGTCCCTGTGTGATCGAGGGTGATGTGGGCGTGGCCAGTGGCCCATGAGGCCCTGAGAGGGCGAGGTGGGCCTGTTGCCGCCGTGTCGGGGTTTGGTTTCGCCCTCTTGTCCCACCTGCTATTATTAGGTGTCACTTGCAGCACAGAAAGTGCGCCAGCGTGTGGCTCTCCAGGGAGCAGCTCAGGCCGCCTGGCCCCACCCCAGCCACACGGCACATTCCCCGGGAGCCCGCGTCGCACTTGGCTCTAGGCGTGGTTGAGCCCTCTCCCAGTTGCCCTGCAGAGGAGGGGGCGGCCGGTTAGAACAGGAAAGATGGGCAAACGCGGAACCAAGGAGCAGTTATTTTCCAGCAGAGCAGGAGGAGAGAGCTGGGAGGGCCTTTGGGTGAGGGGAGCGGGGACCTGCTGGTCGGGTGCCGTGCGAGGCCTTGTCCGCTCTGTTGCCAATAACGGAGTGACGGTGCGGGACGTTACTGCTCCTGGAGCACAGGCAGCTGAGGAGCCTGCGCCACCGGCTGCACGTGTCCGTGGCGGGCGGGCCTGTGTTCGCGGGCGGCCTGCTGGCCGAGGTAAACTCCGTGCTCGCAGTGAGGTGGGGTGGCTGCCCTGTGCTTGGCCCGGCTGAGAGGGCAGACGGCTGCCGCGCGGGCCCCGCGCTCTCTGATCTCCGTGTGGCTGTTTGAGTCTCCTCGTTACACACGTCACCGGCCCTTGAAGGGGAGAGGATTGGGAGGGACAGTCCGGCCCGGCACGGGGTGGCCCCAGGCGCCGCGGCAGGGTCTGCGCACCTGTCAGCGCCACGCAGTCCCCGTGGAAGCAGCAGGGAGACGGGTGTGGATAGCATCTCAGAGAGGTGTTCGTTCCGTGGCGGACACACATAGCTCGCTCTGGCCCGGGGGAATGGAGCCAGGCCAGGGAGCCTGTGACTCACTGGGAAAGCGAGGCCCTCAGGTGAGGCCTGCATGCCCGTCCTCGTTAGACGTGGCCTTCAACTGGGGCACAGCCCTGCCGTGGCCGACGGCCGGTGTCCCGCCCCAGGAGGGGCCCCTGTCCCGGGGATGCCCCTGTCCGGGGGGGCCCCTGTCTGGGGGGGCACCTGTCCCAGGGGGGGCCCCTGTCCGGGGGGGGCCCTGACTGGAGTCCCAACACATTTGAGATAAGTCAGCACAAAACCAATGGAATAGACACCGCGGGCTTTGCCCCTCGTCCTTCTCACTAAGATGCCATCTTCTCCCTGACGTCCCCGCCTGAGCGCACAAAGGATCCCCTCCCCCAAAGGTGCTTCCCTGCCGGGTACAGGGCCCGGGAGCCCCGAAGTTGCAGCTCCCCGGGTGCCTTTGCTGAAGGCCCCTCCCCGTGTCCGTGTGCCTGTGGGGCTGGCGGACGAGTCGTAGAGAGCCAGACGCCGTCCACACCTGAGGGTCACAGGCCTTTAGTCCTGTTGCCGAGAGCAGGCAAGACCCCCGGTGAGGACAGGGCCCCGGGACAGGCCAGCTGGCAGCTTCTAGACATGAAGTCGGACCAGGGCATCGAGGAGCCCATGCTGTGGGCGAGACACCGCCGCTCCATCCCACGGCCCATCTGCCTCAGCCCCAGCGGCGCCCCCGCCCCGGCCGCCTGCTCCCTGCTGACACGGACTCTCCCTGCAGGCCCTGTCCGTGGGCATCTTCCCCTACGTGCTCAAGCTGCTGCAGAGCTCGGCACGCGAGCTGCGGCCCCTGCTTGTCTTCATCTGGGCCAAGATTCTCGCCGTGGACAGTGTGAGTAGTCTGTGTCCTCCCCGTGGGCGTGAGCCATGGCAGCGTGTCTCGAGGTGCCAGCCCCCAGGGCGTGGCTACTGAGAGTAGGCAGGGCTACCGCGGGAGACGTGGGGGTGGCAGGGGCAAAGGGGACCTGCAAAGGAGCTGGTCCTGCAGCCAGGCCCCCTGGCCCATCCCCGCCGCCCCGGAAGCATGTGTGCTGGGTGCACACCTCGCACCCCGTGCTGCGGGGAACCCTCTGGCCGTCTCGCTCACCCCCCCCCCCCCCCCCCGTCCTCTCCGCAGTCCTGCCAAGCCGACCTGGTGAAGGACAGTGGCCACAAGTACTTCCTGTCGGTGCTGGCCGACCCCTACATGCCGGTGAGGCCCGTGCTGTGCGGAGGGAGATGTGTCGTGGGTCCTCTGGCCTGTTCTGCGGGCACCGCGTGGAGGGCTCAGGGAAGGTGCCCCGCCCCCCGCCCCCCAGCTGGGGGCCGCGTTCATGCTGCAGCCCCCGCTTTACTCCAGCCCCTTTACGTCGGCACGTTCCTTTGCCGCTGCCCAGCTCCTCTGAGAGGGCGGGCTCGGCCTGTGTTCGTCAGTGCCCCGGGCGGCCTCTGCCACGTGGGACCCGCTCTCCCTCACGCCTGGGAGCTGAGTTAGCTTACGGCCGCGCACGCCTGCGCTGTGACAGCTCACCTGTCGAGGGAGGCGCCGACGTGCCCCGGGAATCAGGGAGGGAGCGAAGCTTAAATTCTAAGTAGGGTTCATTACGTGGAGTCGCTCAAGCTCGGTGCGTGTGAGCAGCGTGTCACGACTCCTGTGAACACGCAGCCCCCGCCGCTGCGCTGTGGGAAGGAGGTGACGCAGTTTAGCCCTCTGGCCGGTCTCCCTAGTAAAGGCGTGTGAGCCGCCCCAGCACTGAAGGCAGGTCTGTGAAAGGCAGGTGGGCGTGTTTTAAGGGGCATTGAGGCGGCGTCATAGGGGAGGGCACAGTGCCCGGTGCCTGTGGCCGCCTTGGGCCCCGCTGCACCGAGGGAGGACGGGAGAGTTTTGTTTTAAATGTTTTTACTGACTTCAGAGAGGACGGAAGAGAGAGAGAAACACCCATGATGAGAGAATCATGGACCGGCTGCCTCCTGCACACCCCCCACTGGGGATCGAGCCCCAACCCGGGCCTGTGCCCTGACCGGGAATTGCACCGTGACCTCCTGGGTCATAAGTCAACGCTCAACCGCAGAGCCAACCAGCCGGGGACAGAGTGTCGGGTTGATCTGTCCAGCGGACGCCTGGGGAGAGGAAGGAGCTCCCTGTGCCTGAGGAGGGGCAGCCGGGGCCGCGGGTGAGCGGAACCGTGGCTGTGCCCGTCCTGTAGCTGCACCGCGGGAGCAGCTGCGCTCTGCGGGCCTGTGGCCGGCCGACCCTCCGAAGGGCTGTTCGGTGCTGCAGCTCAGGGACAGGAAGGCCGCTCGCTCGTGGTCTGGCGTCGCTGCGGGGCGCGGGGCGTGAGCTCTCGGAAGGTGCGCGGCTAGGGTGGCCTCTTCTTCCAGGCCGAGCACAGGACCATGACGGCCTTCATCCTCGCCGTGATCGTCAACAACTACAACACGGGCCAGGTGGGTGTCCCGGCGCCACGGTGAGGGGTGCAGGCGGGGCCCCACCCCACCAGCCACCCGCAGGGGCCATTGGAACGGGTGGGACTTAGGAGGAGGGACATACCGAGATCTCCGAGAGGTGAGGGCCATGACCCCGGCCGCGGCCCTCGGGCTCCCTGGGCGTGTGGCCCACGCTGTCCTCTGCCGCGCAGGAAGCCTGCCTGCAGGGGAACCTGATCGCCATCTGCCTGGAGCAGCTCAACGACCCCCACCCGCTGCTGCGCCAGTGGGTGGCCATCTGCTTGGGGCGCATCTGGCAGAACTTCGACTCGGCCCGGTGGTGTGGGGTGCGGGACAGCGCCCACGAGAAGCTCTGCAGCCTCCTCTCCGACCCCATTCCCGAGGTGAGTCCCGGGGCCGCGGCGCTGGAGGTCCTGCCGGGCGTGTGGGCCAAGGGGCGCCACTGGGACAGCACCTCCAGTGGGGCTGCTCCCACCAGGGTGCACCTGGCGTCCGGAAGCTGCGCCCCCACAGCCTGTCCCCTGAACCCTGTCCCCCGAACCCCATCCCCCAAACCCCGTCTCCCTCACTGCACAGCCCGTCAAGCCGGGCCACGAGGCCCCCTTCCCAGCAGGGCAGGCGGGCGGGCTGTGACCGGTGCCTCCGCAGGTGCGCTGCGCAGCCGTCTTCGCCCTCGGCACCTTTGTGGGCAACTCTGCCGAGAGGACCGACCACTCCACCACCATCGACCACAACGTGGCCATGATGCTGGCCCAGCTCATCAGCGACGGGAGCCCCGTGGTGCGGAAGGTGCGTGCCGGCCGAGCCGCGACCCTGTGCGCAGCCGGAGCTCCGCTCCGCGTCTGATCCCCCAGAAGGCGCTGCCCCAGACGCGCCTTTACCAGGCCGGCCCGCCCAGGGCCCCGGAGGCCAGCGTCCCCTCCGCCGGCGAGCGCAGGGCTCTGTCTTCGCCCTCTTCTCCACGGCCACGCGCCTCCAGCCGGGGTCAGGGGTCGCTGCTGCTCGCGGGCTGTGACCGTGCCTCCCTCCCAGGAGCTGGTGGTGGCGCTGACGCACCTGGTGGTTCAGTACGAGAGCAACTTCTGCTCCGTGGCCCTGCAGTTCATGGAGGAGGAGAAGAACTACCCGCTGCCCTCGCCTGCCACCACAGGTACGGCCTCGCCGGGCCCTTCGTCAGAACCGTGAGCGGGCCTCGGTTCCGCCAGAAGCGGAGGAGGCACCACGTCCTCGCACCCAGATGCCAGCTCTGAGTGGCCTGGTTCCCCTTGCCACGCACTGAGCAGGACAGAAAGGGCGGGAAGGGCTGCTCTGGCCCCTGCCTCGTCCTCCCTTACCCTTTTGGAATGAGATTCCTAGGGGTGACGGCGGCCGGGGCTCCCTGCGGGGACAATGCCATCGTGGTGCTGGGTCCCGGCTCTGAGGCACATTAGGTGGCGCCTGACATCTGCCTTTACCCAGTCGGTCTCGTTGCCCCGGCCGCCCCTGCCCCGGAGCTCCGCCATCCCTCCAGAAAGAGGGCTCGTGATCGCAGGGAAGTGAAGGCACTGCCTCTGTCAGTGCGTCAGGGAGGGGACCGGGGGTGCACGTGCCCCGTGGGAACAGCCGTGCGCCACCAGAGGGCAGCGGGGGTCCTGCCAGCACCCACTCGTAGGGCCCCTGGTGCGGCCGCAGGGCCTGCTCACGAAACCGCACGTGACTTGGGGCAACTGACTGGCTGCCTGTGTCAGACCCTCGCTGCACACATGGGCTCGGGGTGGCGTTCGCACGGCACCCCCAACGCCTGCGGTGAACGCGGTCTCCCCTTCCCCCAGAGAGCGGGAGCCTGACCCCCGTGCGCGACAGCCCCTGCGCCCCCCGGCTACGCTCCGTGAGCTCCTACGGCAACATCCGCGCCGTCGCCACCGCCCGGAGCCTGAACAAGTCCCTGCAGAACCTGAGCCTCACGGAGGAGTGTGAGAGGAGGGCCCGGGCTTGGGGGCGGGGGGGGGGAGGCCGAGGAATCGGGTGCCACCCTTTCTCTGCCACAGACGTGTGGCCCCCAAAGGCACTGCGGGCACGTGGCTCCGAGCCCCTCCCCCGCCTGGGTCCCCCGCAGCCGGGTCTCCTTGGGAGGTCAGCGGCCCCACGGGTGTCCATCCTGCCGCTACGGGTGGGACCGAAAGGGGGTCTGGGCGCCCAGACTGATGCCCTCCGCGTGCTGGCAGCGGGTGGTGCCGTGGCCTTCTCCCCCGGGAACCTGAGCGCCAGCAGCAGCGCCAGCAGCACGCTGGGCAGCCCTGAGAACGAGGAGTACATCTTGTCCTTCGAGACCATCGACAAGATGCGCAGGGTCAGCTCCTACTCGGCGCTCAACTCCCTCATAGGTGAGGCCGCAGCCACAGAGGGCCCTGGCCACCCGGCCGGGACGTGAGAAGCGCCGTCACCCAGCTTGGAGCGGGTGGCACGAGCTGCTTTGCCGCGAGGGAGGCTGGTGGGACCTTCCGTCGCTCCGTCATAGCCCGGGGCAGCGGTCTCCGCCGTGGCCCTGCCGCAGGAGGCAGCCCCCTGCCCCTGACCCGTCTCCCCTCCCCCAGGCGTCTCCTTCAACAGCGTCTACACGCAGATCTGGCGTGTGCTGCTGCACCTGGCGGCCGACCCCTACCCCGACGTGTCGGACCTGGCCATGAAGGTGCTCAACAGCATTGCCTACAAGGTGCGTGTGCTGCCCGCGCCCCAGGCCCCGCAGGCCCCGGCTCGGCCAGCCCTGTCCTGGCTCAGACACGTCTCCGTACCCCGACACACCCACGTGAGCTTCCGTCGGGCGCTGGGCGCTTCCTCCACTGCCTACCGGGTTGCACCGTCCCTGCCCGCTCCGTCCCCGTGCCCCATGTGGTCGCCCTCGTGCCTGACCTGCTTACCCCCTCCTGGCTGGAGAGGAACCTTAGGAGCCACCTTCTAGTTTCACGCTCCACTTCCCAGTTGGTTGGCACCTTCATCTTTTATTTCTTCGGCTCACTCTCCCCTGAGCGCCAGGACCAGGAGGGCACAGCCCCTCTCGCTGGCACAGTGCCAGGCCCTCGGCCTCTAGCCCTGCTGCCCGCGTGGAAGGAGGCCAGCCCTGGGCCCACTGCCCCAGGAAGGAGGGCGCTCCCACTGGTGCGGCGTCTCCTCGCCAGAAGGCCTTTCCTGCCGAAGCCGCTCAGAAGGCCCAGCCTGTGGCCTCAGCGCGTCCCCCGCTGACCGTGCGTCCCTGCTCCCCTGACTCTTCCAGGCCACCATGAACGCCCGGCCGCAGCGCATCCTCAGCGCGTCCTCCCTCACCCAGTCGGCGCCCGCCAGCCCCACCAACAAGGGCGTCCACATGCAGCACGCGGGGTGAGTGCCGGCGCGGGTCCTCGGGGCTGCGCTCTGGTCCCAGGACGCTGGCTCGCCCACTGCTGCCTCGTGTCCTCACCCCCTCCCTGCGCCCCTCACGCCTGCGCGGCTCCCATCCGGCCCTTCCTGCGACCCTTCCGCCTTCACGGCACAGACGGCAGCAGAGCTGGCCGGGGCCTGGCCTCTGGCCCTCGCTCCGAGGCTTGCGGGCAGCGTCTGCGTCCCATCGTGGCTGCAGCACCGTGCCCACTGCGGGAGGAGCCGGCCTGCCTCCCGCTGGCTCCAGTGGGTCCCCAGGACCTGCCGGGCTCACTGCTCAGCATCAGCAGCTGTTGGAGTCGCTGGTGGGCGGGAGGAGAGGGACCCCAGCAGAAGCGGCTGGTGTTTGGCGTCTATGGCGGCTCTAGGTGACACCAGGTTTCTGCTCCCCAACGGCAGGGGCTCCCCGCCAACGTCCAGCGCCAGCAGCTCCAGCCCCACCAACGATGTGACCAAGCAGCCAGGCAGCCGCGACCTGCCATCGGGCCGGCTGGGCGCCGCCGGGCCCACGGGGGCGCAGTACACGCCCCACTCCCACCAGTTCCCCCGCACACGGAAGATGTTCGACAAGGGCCCCGACCAGGTACGTGCCTGCGCGGGGTGCCCAGGCCCGGCTCAGACTCCTGCTCGGTTCACGCCTCGGGGACGCGGGGGCCCGGTCTGAGCGAAGCCCCGCACCAGGTGGCCGAGGCCTGTGGGGATCGGGGACCAGGCGCCCAGGGGCCTGTCCAACCACTAAGGCAGGGACAGCCTAGGCCACCCCACCGGCCCCCAGGCAACAGGGTTCCTACAGCCCGTCCCCTCACTCAGCCCTCACTCAGCCCCGTCCTGTCACTCAGCCCCAGGCTTACGGGACGCAGCAGCCAGACCTGCCTTTGTCTGGTCTGAGCGGCTCTGAGGCAGAGACACTGAGGGCACAGGCTCACTTGTCTCTTTCCCCCGCCTCACCCCCCCTGCACCTGGAAGTCCGCCGACGACCCAGACGACACCGGACACAAGAGCTTCATCTCGGCCGCGATGCAGACGGGCTTCTGCGACTGGAGCGCCCGGTACTTTGCGCAGCCCGTCATGAAGGTGCGCGGCCTGGGGCGCGGCCGGCCCTGTCTCAGACGGGGCAGGAAGCCGCCCGCCTGAGCGTCCTGTCTGCCGAGCGGGTCTGGTTCCCGGGGGCGGGGGTGGGCCAGCAGCCAGGGCCTGGCCTGATGCGCCGTGCGGCCCCCAGAGCGTGGGCATGAGGTCCGGCAGGAAGTGTCCTCTCCGCACTGGGCCCTCGGGGGCATCGGGCTGTCGCCGTCGCGTGCACACGGATTGTCCCTCGGCTGCCACGCCCGTGGGAACAGCCCCGGTGCCGGGCTTCAGGTGGCGCCCGACGTTGGCGTGAAAGACTCTGTGTCTGCAGTTCCGGGTGCAGCTGACCTGGAGGCCTCAGGACTTCGCAGATTTCCTGTTACGTTCATTGGAGATCTTTGCTAAAAGCGTGTTGTATCTCATTTTGTTGTTTTGCTGTTTTTTAGGATTTTTTTAAAATATAGTTTTATTGATTTCGGAGAGGAAGGAAAAGGGAGAGAGAGATGGAAACATCCATGATGAGAGAGAATCATGGATCGGCTGCCTCCTGCAGGTCCCCCACTGGGGATTGAGCCCACAACCCGGGCGTGTGCCCTTGACCGGAATCGAACCTGGGACCTTTCAGTCCTCAGGCTGACACTCTATCCACTGAGCCAAACCGGCCAGGGCTGTTGTTTTGTTTTATTTTTTTCATTTTCCTATTTTTCCCAGGTGGTATGCACAGGTGTGCGGTGATTGCATTGATTTAACTAGCTGTGTAATGGCACATGTGCGTGATGAAATGCAATGGGAACTTTTCTAGTAACCTGTGTCCCAGGGGAATTAGAAATAGCTCAAGGCTGGGATCGCACCTCAGGAATGAAGACCCCCCCAGATGCCTCGGTCTCAGGACCTGCGTGCTCACAGCAGAGCTGTCGTCACGTGACACTGGTTAGCAAGGCCGAGTCCCAGGCACATGGCGGGAGCGACCGCGTTTGCTGGTTTGTTCACGTCGCAGGGACTTCTCCCAGGTCCGAGTGGCCAAGAGGAGCTTCCCGGACAGGGCCCCCCTTCAATGGAGGAGACCACCCCCTCCCCACAAGCCTCCCAGAGCTCACACCCCCTCCCCACACGCCTCCCAGAGCTCACACCCCCTCCCCACACGCCTCCCAGAGCTCACACCCCCTCCCCACACCCCTCCCAGAGCTCACACCTGCTTCAGAAAGAACATTAGGCACGGTCTGTCGTGTGCTTTAAAGAAGACGCGTTGAACTTTGTTCTGATGACGAAGGGTATGGGATTTGTGCTCAGCCCCTGGGCGTGCCAGCCTCGTGCCCTGTCCCACGCGGGAGCCTCCCGCTGGTCCCACACCTGTTAAGGGCGTTGCGAGAGTAAATAGCTACAAGCCAGTGTCCCTCGTACCATGGGCCCCAAGTCCTCACCTGATTAGCAAAGCAGCCGCAGCCAATAGAACACGGTCACATGCCGGTGACCAGGGGCTCTGTCCCAGGACGGCAGGTGGGCCCCGCGTTTTACATGCTCCTGTGAGGACTATTCCAATAGAGCAGGGGAAGCCAGGGGCGCCTCCACAGCTGCAGAGCGAGGGTGGGCAGGACTCCGAGTCCCTTCCCAGTAACCGCGCTGGGCCGGCTGGGGTAGGCGGGGCTTCCCTCGCAGGCACCTGGGGGCGTTGGCAGAAGACAGTGGTTTCCTGAGAAGCAGGGGCAGGCGGCCAGGCGGGAAGCCGTGGGGGGTTCGGGGGGGGCAGACCTGTGTGCAGATGGCCCTGTCGTGTGTGCGGAAGCCCAGGTCCTCGGTGTGTGCTGCTGGAGGAAGTGATTCCAAGCTGCCGGGCGCAGCGTCAGGACAGACTCGTGCTTCTGTATGAAATCACACGTTCCCAGTGGCACCCAGAGAAACACGGAATATTTAGATACAAACCCCAAAGAACATCGCGTGCCAGAGCCACATGCCGAGAAGTACGGGCACTGGGAGGAGATCCGCCCTGAGTCAATGGGGAGCCTGTTCGTGGTTGAAAGACTCAACGTCTTCCCTAAATTGGTGTTCTAAGTCAATACGGTCTCCATCGAAGTCCCAACAGGCTTTTAAGAACCGGCAGCCTCGTCTCCGATGCACGAGGAAAGCAGAGGCCGGAATAGCCCGGACGGGGGCGTGGTCGTGGCTGGGACGCACGGTCTCATGGCGAGGCTCACCGCGCAGCCCAGGCGGTCGGGACACGTGACGTGGTGGCAGGCCACCCCGGTGGCAGGCCAGCGGGACCCAGAGCCAGGATGGTCTGGAGCAGTGGGCTGTCCATTCTCAACTAAGACACTGGGTTCGGGGGGGAGGGGACAGTGGGCCGCAGCCCCTCACACCTGCAGGAACGGGCCAGAGCGAGTCAGCCCTGAATGGGGACCACGAAACGTCGGGAAGGAAACCTTGGTGGCCCAGGCGAGGCGCCGGTTCCTTTAATCCTACGTCAGAAAAGGCTGATATGCAAATGCCCCTCCACCAGGAGGGGGTGGGCCAGCTGGCCAGCCTCCCGTGTCCCCGCCCGTGCGCGAATCCGTGCCCTGGGCCTCCAGGAGGAGAATAAGATACAAGAAGCAGGAGCCTTCTGAAGGAAAGGCTGCAGGAGCCACGGACTAGAGGCGGCTGCGAAGGAGTTTGGGCTGGCGGCGTGGACTCCGGGTCTGCGCTCGGCCCTCCCGACTCCGCCACGGCCGTGCTCCCAGAAGGACCAGCGCCCCAGGGGCCCGGCTCCGGCCACGCCCCATCCATGGCCTCTAACCAGAGAAGGAACCTGGGCCGGGCCTGAGGGCTGCAGGGGCCGGACCAGCCTCTGTGCGGCGTGCGGGGAACGGGCCTGGTTCTGGCCGATCAGTGTCTGATGGCGGGTGTTGCGCTTGCAGATCCCGGAGGAGCACGACCTGGAGAGTCAGATCCGCAAGGAGCGGGAGTGGCGGTTTCTGCGCAACAGCCGTGTGCGGAGGCAGGCGCAGCAGCTCATCCAGAGGGGTGAGGCGGCCGACGCGCACGAGAGGCTGGGGGGCCCTGGGGTTCCCGCCCCCACGAGTGCGGCTCCTGCGTTTGACATTTCAGAGGGGGAGCGGCCCGCCCCAGGCCCGGGTGCAGGCCCGCGTCTGGCTGTGGCTGAGGCCGCCGTGCGTCCCTTGCGCAGGCATCACGCGGCTGGACGACCAGATCTTCCTGAACAGGAACCCCGGCGTCCCCTCCGTGGTCAAGTTCCACCCCTTCACGCCCTGTGTGGCTGTCGCGGACAAGGACAGCATCTGGTGAGTGTGTGCACACGGGTGAGGGGGTAGGGAGCGGGGAGTGTGTGCACACGGCACCAGTGTAAGGAGGGGGAGCGTGTGCACACGGCACCAGTGTAAGGGGAGGAGCATGTGCACATGGCACCGGTGTAAGGGGGAGGAGCGTGTGCACACGGCACCGGTGTAAGGGGGGGAGTGTGTGCACACGGCACCGGTGTAATGGGGGGAAGTGTGTGCACACGGCACCGGTGTAAGGGGGGGGGAGTGTGTGCACACGGCACCGGTGTAAGGGGGGGGGTGTGTGCACACGGCACCGGTGTAATGGGGGGAAGTGTGTGCACACGGCACCGGTGTAAGGGGGGGGGGAAGTGTGTGCACACGGCACCGGTGTAAGGGGGGGAGTGTGTGCACATGGCACCGGTGTAATGGGGGGAAGTGTGTGCACACGGCACCGGTGTAAGGGGGGGGGAGTGTGTGCACACGGCACCGGTGTAAGGGGGGGAGTGTGTGCACACGGCACCGGTGTAATGGGGGGAAGTGTGTGCACAAGGGTGAGGGGGAGGGGCGGGGACTGTGTGCACACGGCACCGGTGTAAGGGGGGGAGTGTGTGCACACGGCACCGGTGTAAGGGGGGGGAGTGTGTGTACACGGCACCGGTGTAATGGGGGGGAGTGTGTGCACAAGGGTGAGGGGGTAGGGGCAGGGAGTGTGTGCACACAGCACCGGTGGGGGGGGGGACGCAGTGTGGCCATGACGGCCGTCCTGGAGGCGGTGTCCCTGGTTCCATCGTGTCCCTCTCTTGCTCCCTGGAGCTTCTGGGACTGGGAGAAAGGGGAGAAGCTGGACTACTTCCACAACGGGAACCCTCGGTACACGCGGGTCACCGCCATGGAGTACCTCAACGGCCAGGACTGCTCGCTGCTGCTCACGGCCACAGGTGAGCGTGTGCACGCGGGGCCGGCCGGGGGCCTGGAGACGGCGCAGTGCAGCTTCCTCGGACCCTGGCCGTCGCTGGCAGAGGGGCCGTCCGCAGTCACAGCGAAGGCCACTGTCCCCGGGAGTCGGGAGGCTTCTGAGGCCAAGGGCTTCCCTCACAGAAGCGGGAGCCGTGCCCGGGGCCGGTCGGGCCCAGGGAGGGTGTCCGCCTCTGGGACCCGCGCGTCCCTGCCCAGGAAGGCGCCGCAGCCTCTGTCCACGCAGCCCCTGCGAGGCGAGGTGGAGGAAGACGGGTCGCCAGGGGCCCTCTGCCTGGTGGCGACCTCACGGTCCCTCCAGTCACCCACACCAGTGGCGGGTCCCCCTCTCCCGTTTGGTCTGAATGCTGGCACTGCGGCCTCACCCTGGAGCCTGGTTTGCCCACTAAGCCGCCTGGCGAACCGTCACCTCCCGCAGCACTTCAGACACGGCTCTGCTTCTGGCTTAAGAAGCCGCTGCCCATCTACCAGCACCTCCATCCCAGAGGGCAGAGGTCGTGGGGGAGCGCGGAGCTGGGGTGAGGGAGGAGGTGGGTGTCCTCCTGGGCTCCGAGCCCTGGGACTGAAGGGCTGGCCCCCGACTGATCGCTCCTCCCAAAGGTCCCTGGCCCCTCGGGAAGGCGCACCCACGGGGACAGCCTGCTGGTGGCGCTGCTCCCACCAGGCCTCCGCGAGGCGCAGGGCATCTTCGTGCTCCTCCTCGTGCAGGGGAGCCAGGCCTGCGTGCTGACCGCCGTCTCTCCTCTCCCCAAGATGACGGCGCCATCAGAGTCTGGAAGAATTTTGCTGATTTGGAAAAGAATCCAGAAATGGTGACGGCGTGGCAGGGGCTCTCGGACATGCTGCCGACGAACCGAGGTCAGTGTCAAGGCCAAGCCTGGAACCGTGAGCCGGCCGCTTCCCCGTCTCCACAAGCGCGTCTGCCTGGGAGAGGCGGCGGTGTAGGGGCCGTCGGGCTGACCTCTGACCTGGGGCGTCCCTGGCCTGCGTGCACCTGTCCTCAGCCTCATCCCTGGCTGGCGGGGGTGTCTCTGGGAAAAGCTGACAGGGCTGGGGGACTGCGTTCTGTGCTCTTTGTACCCAAATTAATCCCCCTTGTGTGGTGAGTGTGCCGTGGTCACCAGCGTGTGCTTGTGTCTGGGCTGGAGGCCGTGCGCGCGCCTGACCCGCCCTGTGCTGAGGGTGCGCTGGGCTGGCCCCCCCGTGCTGAGGGTGCGCTGGGCTGGCCCCCCTGTGCTGAGGGTGCGCTGGGCTGGCCCCCCCGTGCTGAGGGTGCGCTGGGCTGGCCCCCCCGTGCTGAGGGTGCGCTGGCCGCAACCCCACAGGCACAGCTCTGCACGCTGCCTGTCGGGTGGGGGCGCCCGGCCGCATGCGCAGTGGGTGCCAGGCCTGCCTGCTGCCCTTCCAGGAGGCAGGTCAGGGATCGCAAGGGTCCCGAGGCCTCGGCTCACGGCTCGCTGTGCCCCGCGGCAGAGACGTTCAGGTTGGGGTCAGGCTGTCAGGGTCTGGGTTCCCGGGGCCCTTGTCTCCCTCCCTTGCCCGGTGCTGCTGCTGCCAGAGGCTTCTCTGCTCCACCCCCCACCCCCACCATCCACACTCTGTCCCCTCCTGTCTCCTCCCCCCACCCCATCCAAGCGCCTTAAGGCGACTCTGGAGCGGGCACCTGGCTGCCAGCAGGGACAGCTCCAGGCCGGCAGCACAGCGTGTGTTTAAATCGTAGCCATGCTTTTCAGAAACAAACTGTCAGCCGTGCACCCACCCGCCACACAGCCGTTTCCCTGTCGCCTGGGCCCCTGCAGGCCTGGCGGGAGCTGACGGGGACGGGCCCTGTCTCGGCCTCGCCTTGTACCTAGGACTGCCCAGCGCCGTCTCCGGGGGCCCTGCCGCCCTGCCCCCCTCTGCCTCCTGGCGCAGCCGCCGGGCAGCTCCTGCCACGTTGGCCGCACTAACGATGTGTGTTTCTGGCCACGAACCTCCCCGAAACGTCCCCTCGTCCCCCCTCTGGACCCCCCCGCCCCGGCCACCCACCTGCACGGAGGCGATTCCCAGCCCCGTGCACAGGGACGTGCGGTGCCGTGTGAGGTCCCATCTCTCAGTGGCCACAGCACCTCCCACCTCCCGTCCAGACACAGGCTGTTTGGAGGCAAAGCCCTACTGACCGAGGGGGGCGTTTGTCAGGTGAACGCTTGCCCGGTCAGCAGGTGCGGCGAGGCCGGCCGCTCCACCTGTACCTCCCCTCGCCTCCCCTGCTGCCTGGTGTTCTGGGCCGTCGGTCAGTCTGGTTGGGTCAGTGCGCCTGGCTGCTTGCCTTCCATCAGACCACGTCCCTGTCTCCTCGCAGGTCTGGCCCGAAAGGTCTCCATCTATCTTGACCACAGTAAGCAGGGAGGTGAGTGCCCTCTGCCCCGCGGCCGCCCAGGGCCGGTGGGCGCTGCCCTCTCTGCTGGCGCCTGTCCCCGCGCCTGCGGTGCCCTTCGGGGCGGCAGAGGGTCAGGGCTGGGCTCTCCCTCGTTCCATCCGCACCGATCCGTCCAATGCAAGGACGTTAGCCGGAGAGCACCTGCTTCCCTGGGCACGTCAGGGAGCGGGAGCCCTGAGCCGAATCCCAGCCCAGAGGGAGCATCCCTAGGGCCGCCCTCCGGGGCCTCCTCCCTCCGCAGGTGGGGGTGCCAGCCCAGTGGCTCCACATCTCACCCCCTGCGTTCATGGAGGGTCTGCATTCTCTGTCTTCTCCAAGCCACGCCCACTGGCCCAGGAATGGGAACAGCAGGTCTCCATCTGCTGGCGAGGGCCTCGGCCGCCCCCCCAGGCCCCAGGCCCAGACCCAGGGCGCACGCGCCGTGTCCCAGAGCAGATGCTCCAGTGCGAGGTTTTTCCCACCAAAACCGTCGAAACAGAACCTTTTCCCTGAGATGTTCACGCAGGGCCTCTGGCAGCCTCTGTTCCCAAAGGAGAAACCCGCACGGCTTGATGAACGCCTGAGCGCAGGCAGCAGCAGCTGAGGGCTGAGGGCTGAGGGCTAAGGGCGAGAACAGCCTGGGGAGCCTGGCTCAGCGAGCGGAAGCCCCATCAGATGCTGTCCCAGGAGGAGACAGGGAGGGTGCTGAGGGCATGGTGTCCCAGGAGGAGATGGGGAGGGTGCTGAGGGCATGGTGTCCCAGGAGGAGATGGGGAGGGTGCTGAGAGCATGGTGTCCCAGGAGGAGACGGGGAGGGTGCTGAGAGCATGGTGTCCCAGGAGGAGACAGGGAGGGTGCTGAGGGCATGGTGTCCCAGGAGGAGATGGGGAGGGTGCTGAGGGCATGGTGTCCCAGGAGGAGGCGGGGAGGGTGCTGAGGGTATGGTGTCCCAGGAGGAGACGGGGAGGGTGCTGAGGGCATGGTGTCCCAGGAGGAGACAGGGAGGGTGCTGAGGGCATGGTGTCCCAGGAGGAGACGGGGAGGGTGCTGAGGGCATGGTGTCCCAGGAGGAGACGGGGAGGGTGCTGAGGGCATGGTGTCCCAGGAGGAGACGGGGAGGGTGCTGAGGGCATGGTGTCCCAGGAGGAGGCGGGAAGGGTGCTGAGGGGCTGGGTGGGGACAGCACCACCCACGCAGGAGGCTGGTCGGCAGGTCCCACTGGGACTCTGGCTCTAGGGGCGTCTGCGACTTGCAGCTTCGTAGCGCTTGCGGGTGCGGTGCTGCCCTGTCCCAGCCCAGCGCCCGGCGAGGGCTTTGTGTACATTTCACATCACCACGTGGGTGACTTACAAAGAGGCGGAGCCTTACCACCAGGCACCAGTGTCAGTCTTTTTCTAGGTGCGTCGGTATTGGTTCTTAGAGTAACAGCCTGGTTGCCCCCACATGTGCCCCGGCCAGGGATCGGCCAGGGATCAGGTGGCCACGTCTTGGTGCACAGGCAATGCTCCAACCAACGGAGCCCCCGGCCTGGGTGACACGTGATTCCTGTCCGGGGCCAGGGCCTGACCAGCCTCCCAGCGACTGTTTGTCCTCATCTGTTTAGTGGCTCGTTCTCCACGGCAGGCAGCACAGCGTAGGGCCCGCGTGTCCCTGGGAGAGAACAAGAAGCACCTGTGGGCCCTGGGACTCACCCCGCGACTGAGAGCTCTTACAGTGAAGCCTGCGTGAGGGGAGGGAGGAGAGGAGGGGGCGGGGCCCCAGAGGAAGGCGGGGCCGCAGGGGCCGCTCAGAGGAAGGACCGTCCCCGCCCACCTAGTCTGGATGGCAGGACGCAGACCTGGGGGGCCTCGGCGGGTGGGCACTGCAGCCGGGAGGAGGAGCGGCAGGGCCTGCCTTGGCGGCTGTGTGTATATGAGAGGCTTCCGCAGGCAGAGGCCCCGTCTCGGGTGACCCCCGGGAGGTGACCCCTGGGAGGTGCCCGCCTGGGGGAGGTTCGTCCCAGGACGGAGCAGCCAAGGGAGGCTCCCCGGCATTAAAAACTTCTCAAAAAAAAAAAGCAAAATGTTAGCAACTGTGAGATCGGGGCGGTGGGTACCAGGGTTTCTACCGTGTTCTTCTCTGTGTTTAAAACATTTGCAACTAAACATTTAAAAGTAAATCTTATTCTGCCCCCAGTGTGGCCAAGTGGTTAGAGTGTCAGCCCAGGGCCGCAGGGTTGAGGGGTCAATCCCGGCCCGCTCAGGGCGCTGCCGGAGACAACTGGTCAGAGTGTCTCTCAAGCCGATGTCCCTCTCTCTCTCTCTCTCTCTCTCTCTCTCTCTCTGAGTGGGGAAAATCCCCTCAGGTGAGGGTTAACGACAACACATTAAATCTTATCCTCAATAGAGTCCTCCCGGGAGGTCTCAGTGCCGTAGTCGCTCGTCCGTCCGCTGTCCCGTCCCGCGGGGAAGGCAGCTCCCTGCCCGGTGCCCGGCCAGCCTCGGGGAGGCACTGCCGGCTCCCGCCCACAGCAGGCACCGCAGGCCCCGAGCTCCCAGCGGCCGTGCCCAGGGATCCTGGACAGAGTCCGAGTGGGGCCTGTCCCTCTGGCAGTGCCTGGGCCGCAGGGATCTGTTGCCCCGCCCAGGACGGGTGCACCGGGAGCCCCGGCCCGAGCCTGCGTGGGTCTGGGTCCTGGGTGTCAGGGTGGCGTCTGCCCAGAGCTCCCAGGTGAGGCTGTGCCCGTCTGTCCCCAGGTGCTGGGATGGTGGTGGACTGGGAGCAGGAGACCGGCCTCCTCATGAGCTCGGGGGATGTGCGGATCGTGCGGATCTGGGACACGGACCGCGAGATGAAAGTGCAGGTGACCGCTCGGGGCCCCCGCCTCCTCCCGCCCACGCCCTCCCCGCGGAAAACCCACAATGAGGTCACTGAGCAGCTGTGACATGTCAGTGACCGGTGGGGGGGCGGGGACAGGGGGCCTGGGCACTGGGAGCCTTCAGACCCGCTGGCATCTGGATCAGGTCACATGGTGGCGCCCTGCCCAGCATGACAGCCCGGCCGACCCTGCTCATCCCAAATGCTGATCACCGAGCAGCCAGGGACTAATGGCCGGGTTCTGTGCTCCCTGAAGTCCCTCTTACTTTCCCTGTTAACAAAGAGACCGGAGTACAGGGGATTCCTGGCCCTCCGGGAGGTGCCGGCCCGACCCCCAGGGCTGAAGGCTCTGCCCCTCCCTGCGCCACCCTCTCTCTGCTCCTCCTGCACTTACAGCGGCCAAGACGAGAGCGGGTGCTGTGTGGGCCGGGAGCTCCCCTAGGGCCTAGGCCCTCCCTGACAGCAGGCATTCTAGCAGAGCTAATGCTCCGACTGCCCAAGGGCTCATCTTTCTTTCCAGGAAAGAGGGAGGCGTTGGGAAGTTTAATTGGCTCAGTTACCAGCCTGTTTGCCGGCTGCCGCCCAGGGATCACATCTCGGCGTGGCTCCCGGCTGGGCCCTGGTGCAGCTTGTCATTGGGGCCCCAGTGGCCTGACTCAATTCCCAGCGGCCCTGCAGGTCTCCTGGGCTCCGCGGGCTCCATCGCTTCCCCGGTGGAGCAGGCGCAGTCCCTGGCCTGGCGGCAGGCACGCCCAGCCACTGCGGGGCTCACCGGTCTCTGTGCTCGGCCCTAGGACATCCCCACGGGCGCTGACAGCTGCGTGACCAGCCTGTCCTGCGACTCCCAGCGGTCCCTCATCGTGGCTGGCCTAGGGGACGGCTCCGTCCGCGTCTACGACCGGAGGATGGCCCTCAGCGAATGGTAATGTGGCTGCACCCGACCCACCCGGTGCCCCTGGGGCCCATGGTCACATCTCTGCCAGGCTGCTGGGCCCAGACGAAGTGAGCCCAGGGCCCAGGGCACTGCAGAGGCCTCACACCCTGTGAGCGTGGACGGGCCATGGGAGGCGGGCCGGGTCCAGGTGCTGCCTCCTGAGCTCAGTTCCCTGGGGAGGCTGCTGCCTACCCCTCTGTGTCGCACGTGAGCAGCTGTGGCGTCGGGACCACGTGCATGGGCGCTGGTGGGGCCGGCAATGAGCCGGTGAGGGCACCTGTGTGGGTGCTGAGGAGCTGGTGTCCGCTGTCCGCCACCGGCCCAATGACAGCGCACATTGCACCCTGGTCCTGCGTCCCCCGCCTGCCTGCCTGGGGCTCTGACCTGTGTCCCCCGCTCTGCCCGCAGCCGCGTCATGACGTTCCGGGAGCACACGGCCTGGGTGGTGAAGGCCTGCCTGCAGAAGCGCCCCGAGGGCCACATCGTGAGCGTCAGGTAACGGCTGAGCAGCTGCGAGCGCTTCCCGCTGGGAACGTCCCGGTGTCCACCAGCCGCGGTGGCGCCCCGCACGGCAGGGCTGGCTCGGTCCTCCCGCTGGAGCGGCCGGGGTGCAGGGAGCAGGTGGGAGGCTCACCCCTCAGTGCTCACAGGCCCTCCGCTGGCGCCTGGCTGTGGGGTCCCTGCCTGAACCACAGTCGTCCACCCATAGCCCAGTTTCGGCCGCCGGTCCCTCCTGTGCTGAGAGCAGTGAACATTCACTTGCCGTTAAAGGGACAACAGATGTCATTTACTGTCACGGTCGCCGTCTGCCCTGTGATCGTAAACACAGAGCGTGCCTCTTGGAATGACACCCACGGGGCCGGGCCGGGGAGAGCGCCCCTGCCCCCCGCCCGTGTCCCCACAGCCCACTCCCTCCCCGGGGACGGAACGCAGCAAGTGCTCGCTCCCCCGCTCTGCCCTGCGGCGGCCTCGCTGCTCCCGCGGGGCCTGGCGGCCGGGGTCGTGGGTGGGCCTCACAGGGCCTAAGAGGCGCCAGGCAGCCTCCGTGTGCCCGTCCCGGCTGGCGGGCTGGCTTCCCCTCCCCTCACCGCGACCCCTCTCGGCAGCGTGAACGGGGACGTGCGCTTCTTCGACCCGCGGATGCCGGAGTCTGTGAGCGTGCTGCAGATCGTGAAGGGGCTCACGGCCCTGGACATCCACCCCCAGGCCAACCTCATCGCCTGGTAGGTGCCCCCCCCCCGCCCCCGCCCCCCCCTCCTGCAGGCTGGGCCTGTTCCTGCAGACCCCGCCCTCCAGGCCCCGCCCCCGGAGTTGGCGCTGACAGCCCCCCCTCTGCCCCTGCAGCGGCTCTGTGAACCAGTTCACCGCCGTGTACAGCGGGACCGGGGAGCTCATCAACAGCATCAAGTACTACGATGGCTTCATGGGCCAGCGCGTCGGCGCCATCAGCTGCTTGGCCTTCCACCCACACTGGGTCTGTCCCCCGCCCGGCAGGCAGGGACCGGGGCTCCTGAGCGCCAGCAGCGAGCGGGTGGGCTGCAGCCATGCCCCCCACCTTCCTGGGCCTCCGCCCGCCGGATCCAGGGCCATGGCCCCACCCCCCCCACCCCACCCCCGCCCCTGAGGCAGCACCCCCCCGTCCTCGGGGAGGGCCCGGCTGCAGTAACGTGAGACACTCCCCCTCCCGTCACCTCTGACCTGCACTAATGTCACCCTGGAGGAATTGCCCCCGAGGAGTCTTCTGGGCAACCACATGCATGCACGCACACACATGCACACACACACATGCGCGCACACACGTGACCCGTGCTTGTCCTGTGTACAGGCATCCACACAGTCACAGGCTAGCATGCGGCTCTGCCGAAAGACACGCCATTGGATCCCCAGAGCATCCCTGGGGCAACCCCGAGAGGTTCAGGGACCAGGCAGCTTGGGGGTTCCAGCTCGGGGGGAGGGGGCACGGTTCTGCTGGAAGCCACAGCCCCAGCCCCGTCTGCACCTGCCCCCCCTGGGCCCGCTCACCCGCTCACCCGCCCCCTCTCCTCGCAGCCTCACCTGGCCGTGGGCAGCAACGACTACTACATGTCCGTGTACTCCGTGGAGAAGCGCATCAGATAGCGGCGCCCGCGGGCCAGGCCGCATGCACAGAGGGGCCGCTGCCCGGACCGGTCCTGGCCTGGCTGCGAGGCTCCGGGCTGCGCTGTCTGCCTGCCTGTCCTCGCTGTGGCGCCGTGGCCCATGAAGTCCCCCCGCAGCGTGATGGTGTGATGTCACGGTCACTTCCCGCTGAGACGCGGCCTGAGGCCGAGGCGCCGGCACTGCTCCTCCCGTCCTCCCTGTCCTGTCCTTTCTTCCGAGAGTTTTGAAGCGGAAACACTCGTTTTATTTTCCACGGGACCCAAGCCTGAGCTCCACGAGCTCCAAGACGGACCCGGCTTCTCCAGGCTCGGCCGCCTGGGGTCCCTGGGCCGGCACAGCCCGGCCACGCGCCAGCAGGGGGTGCCCAGCCGGCCGCAGCCTCGCTGTGCACAGGGACAGCTCCGGGCCGCGGGAGGGCTGGGGTTCGAGACCAGCACCGAGGAGATGGAGGAGCTGGCACCTGGGCCTCCCGCCAACTCCCCGGGCTCAATCCACCCCCCACAGCGCAGCCATCCTCCGGCACAGGCGCGGCCTTGGGTTCGAGCTTGGGCCCCTGTTACCAGGTCCCTAGAGAAGGGGCCTGCAGCCTTGGGCAGGAGGCAGGTCTCTGGTGACTCAGCCACCGCCTGAGGCCACGGGCACGTTTCCCTGAAGGGCGGCAGCCAGGTCCGTGATCTTCCTGCCTGTGCTCGCACACATGCCACACGTGTCACACACGTGCACGCAGGGAGGCACAGCTGGAGGCCTGAGAGTGTCTGGTTAGACGACATCTTGCCTGCAGTCCCTGTCCCCACTGTGCAGCCATAACGCATAAGAGCTCCTCACTGCTCACTGTATCTCGTGTCTATGCGTGAGCAAGTGCACAGGCCTGTGTATACACGTGTGTACACGTGCACAATCATGTGCAGATGTGCAAGTGCACAGGCATGTGCAGACGTGCGTGTCCGTGTGTGTGAGTGCCATGGCAGGGGAGCAGCAGCCGCGGCCGATGGAGGCCCGGGAGGGTGTGCGGAGACGGCACCTGGAACTCAAAACCACCTCAGTGATGATGTTTGAAACGCATTTGGGAATCAGGGTTATTCGCAGAGGAGCGAGGTGGCTTCGCTAATTCCGCCAGCAAGAGGCCAATAATCGTGAATGTGCGCCCGCTGAGGTCGCCTGGCTGCCGCGTCCCGGCGGGCGGAGCTTGGCGGCCGCGTGGCCTGGGTGTGCTGGGCTGGCGCCTGCACTGGGGCTGGACGGGCGGGTGCAGGAGGGCCCTGCCCGCGGCCCTGCGTGCTCCCGCCAGGAGACGGTTCTGGGAGAGAAGTCCCACGCCCCACGCTGCGTCCGTGGGCGCTCCAGCACGGACCCCCAACCTCCTGGAGTGTCTGACAGATGGAGCGGGTCCCCTCCAGGTTCCAGGCTCGTGTGCAGTTCTGTTTGAGACGAAACCATGAGCTGCCCCCGGCGAGGCTGTCTTCACAGATCTGATGCGAAAACTCAATCATGAAGTTACAGGCACAGGAGCCTGCCCTAAGGTCCACTACCTATTTATTCTACCAGAATGAGACTCGAGAAGACGGACGAGACGCAGGACTGCCCTGTGACCGGGAGCTCGGTGATGGACAATAAACGCTGATGAAATCGTGCGGGAAGGGCAGCTTGTCTTTGGGAAAACGGCATGAGGGCCACGTGGGCGTGAGCAGTTGTGGGGGGGGGGGGGCTGAAGACGGGTCGCCAGCCTGCAGGCTGGGTCCTGGGTCACCTCACACCTTCGGGCAGTGGCTTCTTAAGGAGGCCTGGGGACAGGCTCTGTCGCCCCCTGTGATAGGAAATGGGGGTCAGGATCCTGACCCCAGGGGCTGGGCAGCCCCCAGAAAAGGGCTGTGCCACCTGCCGTGGAAGGGGACATGAGAGGTGACAGTGGCGGCCGTAGGATGTGGATGCCCTGGGTGTGGTGAGGGGCTGCCCATGACACCAGTGACCCCCAGGGCGGGAGGTCACCCGTCACCGCCACTGGGAGGCCCCTTGGCCTCCGGGAGAAGCCCCCCCCCCCCCGCCCCCCGTGCCGGGTGGGTGCTGCTGCGGCGAGGGGTCCTGGGTGCTTGTGTGTTTCCTTGGGGGCTCCAGGCAGGGTCCTTGGGGTGGGCAGGAGCCGTCCCGGCTAAGGGACGAGGGGCAGCCAGTGGCAGGGCAGTGGGGGCCAGAGAGGGGCCAGGCGGGCTGTGACCAGGGGCACCAGGAGGAAGGGCCGAGTGGAGCCACATGCAGCCCTGTGCCTGCTGCAGCGGATCCCCCCTGCGCTGGCCAGCACCCCCAGGGTCTCGGCTTCCAGCAGCTCCCAGGAGAGCGGCGTTCCTGCCCTCCAGCCTCCGCAATCGCCCATGACGCCTCCTCCAGGCAGCACGACAGCCAGTCTCACCCCCACTCCCCACGGGCTCTGCCCCTCAGCCTCTCCAGGACCCTGTGGTGACACTGAGCCCCAGGCCTCCAGGGCCCGCTCCACATCGGCCGTGGGGGGCCCAGCACAGCTCCGGGTCGCACATGGCCACCCTGGGGCTTAGATGCCCTCCAGGCAGGACCCAGACGCCCCGGGGCCTCAGCCAGGAGCTGGGGTGGAAGGGAGCGCCTGTCCCGTGGGGAGAGGCCTCGGGTATGGCCCTGCGCCCTGAGCTGCCTGCGGAGGGAGGGGCGTGGCCTCAAGGGTCAGGATGGGCGACGGAGAGTCTAGGTGCCCGTCCAGCTGGGGAGAGGGTCCCGGGCTGGCCAAGCCTGGTGTCCACTGACCCCTGGGGCCGGGCCGCGTTTGGGTGGCTCGTTACCGCCCAGCAGCTCGGCCACAGGCCGCCCCTGCGTGTCTGCCATCCGGTCCTGCAGCGCCACCGCGTGGCCACATTGGGGACCGCCGCAGCCCGGCCTGGCCTGCGCGAGGCTTCCAGGGAAGTGGACACCCGCCGCCGCGCGCTGCCTCCGGCCGGTCACCCGGCTCTCTGGCCCCTAAAGACGTGTCTCAGCCCTTGGCCCTCCGCCCCGCGTGTCCCCTCGAGCCACCGGCAGGTCATGCAGTGACGATCTTAGGGGTGAAGGTGTGTGTGTCCCTCATTCATGTGGGCGTCCCACCCCCAGCACCGCAGGAGCGACCGTATTTGGACACAGGTCGCCCTAGAGGTCAAGTTAGAGAGAGGTCCGCGTGGCCCTCGCCCATGTGACCGCGTCCGCGTGAGAAGAGGCACATGGACAGACGCACAGGCAGACGGAGGCTGGGGTGATGCCTCCCCAACCCCAGGGCCCCGCCAACCCCCAGCCGCCGGGGGAGGGGGGCCTGGGCCAGTCAGGGGGCGGCACCCCCACCTTCATCAACAAAAACCCAGATCTGGTGGATGGGGCCTGGCGGGAGGACTTGATGGAGTCCTGGCCTGCTGCCCAGCGGAGGGGCGGGGAGGAGGGGTCCCCTGTGGTCGGTTCAGGTGTGAGGCCCCCTCCCGCCCCCCAAGGGCCTAAACCGTGGCCGCGTCACCGGCCGAGGAGGGAGCCACCACCAGCCGCGCGCTCGCACCTGCCAGCGGGGCGGGGCGCCTTCCGGCCCCACCCGGCGGCAGGGGAGCTGGGGGGCGCCCCCCGCGCTGCTGCGCCTCCGACGCGGCGGCTGTGCCTTCCGTGCGCCCGGGGCACCGGCGGGGACGCACTGCAACCTCCCGCGCGGGCGGCAGGGGGCGCTGTCGCGCTCCGCGGCGCTGGCCCCGCGCGGCCGCCGTCGGGGGCGGGGCTGCGACGCGTCCGCGGGGCGACGGGGCGACGGGCTCGGCGGCGGGCGGGAGGGAGGCGGGGGCGCGGCCGGCGCGATGGGCAACCTGTTCGGGCGCAAGAAGCAGAGCCGCGTCACGGAGCAGGACAGGGCCATCCTGGTGAGGCCGGGCGCGCGGGCCGGGCCGGCCGGGGAGGGGCCTCGGGGCGCGGTCGCCCGGTCCCCGAGTCCACGCTCGCGGGGCGGCTCCCCTCGCGGGTCCGCGGGCGCCGGGCGGGGACGCGGGTGGAGCCGTCGGGGAGGCCTGGCCTGCGCCCGAGGCCACCGGGCCCGGGACGGGCTCTCCCCGCGGGGCCCTCGCTCCGGTGCGGAGGCCGGCGCCGGCCCCCAGGCTCTGGGACGCGAGCGGGTCTCGGAGACCAGCTGCCCCCGCCGGGATCTGCTTCCGGGGCCTCCCGTTGCCATGGGGACGGCGATGCGCTCCCGCTTCCGGGGCGCTCGGGGTGGGAGTGTTTCCGTGGGAAGAGGAGACATGGGCGCAGAACGGGGGGCGCTGGACCGAGCAGCGCGGCCCGCGCTTTCCTGCTTTTCTAAGTTTCCTGCCGCGAAGACGTGGTTTTGTCCCGAGGGAAGTGACTCCCGTGACGCGGTTCTTCTCCCCGGGCTTCCGGAACCGTGAGTTCCAGGCGGTTCTTCCCGGAAGCACGGCGGCCCCGGGCGCGGCTGTGGCGGGAGAATGGGCCGCAGCCCCGGGACAGCGAGGCCGCCCCCTCCCTTCGCCTCCGGCCGCTGGGCTTCTCCGCGAGGCCTGTCTCCTGCCAGGTGTCGCCTCGTGGGGTCCGCACGGGCCGTGGCCTTTGCACACACTTGCCCATCGTCGCCTGGGGTTTCCCTGGGGTGGAAGGCGGGGGGAATCGTCCGCCGAGACCCCTCTCTGCACAGCGCCCCCCTTGGGCGGCCCTCCCGCGTGGCCACCGCCGGGTCAGGGCTGGCTACCGGCCCGGGAGGGAGGGCGGCGGCCGGAGCTGGGAAGAGCGCGCACCTTTCACGGTCGCGCGTCCTCACCGACCACAGGCCGGGCGTGCGGGGTGCTGGGCCCGGCCCCAAAGCGACCGGGGAGGGCGCCCCTGCAGACGGAGCGGGGGGCCTGCACGGGGCCGGTTCCTCACCGTGCGGAGCCTTAGGGACGCGCACCCCCTGGCGCGCTGGCTCGGGGCGATGCCCGTGTCCGCAGGCGCCCCCTGGCGGGGGCCAGGGAAGGGCCACTCCAGGTGCACAGTGACCGGCCTCCTCCCTGGGGCTGCGCAAGGTCACGTGTTGTCCACTCAGACGCATAAGTGACCAGAGCGGGGAAGCTAAGCCACAGGCTGGAGGCAGGGCCTGCTGCTGGGAGGGTGACCGTCAGCCTTCGAGGGGCTGCAGCCCCCGACCCGACCCGGAGCCCCGCTCTCCTCGCAGTTGGCCTTCGGTGCCCGCGGCGGTGGCTCAGAGCAGCACGCGGGCACGGCCGGCGGGTGGGGGCCGCCTCCCCACTAGGCTCCCGGCCACCCCGCCTGGCGGTCAGGAGCGTCGCTGGACACCGCCCTGGCCACAGCCCTGGCCCCCGGGAGGCGGAGGGAGCCTGGCCAGGGCGGCACCGCGGGGCCAGCGTTCACGCGGGACCTGTGTCGGCAGCAACTGAAGCAGCAGCGGGACAAGCTGAGGCAGTACCAGCGGAGGGTCACGCAGCAGCTGGAGCGCGAGCGCGAGGTGGCCCGGCAGCTCCTGCGCGAGGGCCGGAAGGAGTGAGTGTGCGGCCGGGGGGCCGGGCTGGGGGGGGCGCTGGGTCACTGGGTCACGCCGGCTCCTCTGCAGGCGGGGGGCGGGGGGCCGGGCTGGGGGCGGGCGGGGGGGCGCTGGGTCACTGGGTCACGCCGGCTCCTCTGCAGGCGGGGGGCGGGGGGCCGGGCGGGGGGGCGCTGGGTCACTGGGTCACGCCGGCTCCTCTGCAGGCGGGGGGCGGGGGGCCGGGCGGGGGGGCGCTGGGTCACTGGGTCACGCCGGCTCCTCTGCAGGCGGGGGGCGGGGGGCCGGGCTGGGGGCGGGCGGGGGGGCGCTGGGTCACACCGGCTCCTCTGCAGGCGGGGGGCGGGGGGGCGGGGGGGCGCTGGGTCACGCCGGCTCCTCTGCAGGCGGGCCAAGCTGCTGCTCAGGAAGAAGCGGTACCGGGAGCAGCTGCTGGACAAGACGGAAAACCAGATCACCAGCCTGGAGACCATGGTGGGCGGGGCCGGGGCGGGGCTGGGGGCCGCGGGGCGCGGGAGTCCCCTTTGGGGCTGACACGCGCCTTCCCTCTCGGAGTGCTCAGCCCGGCTCGGGAGTCAGGCCGGGGCCTGGAGGGGACCTCCCCCGGGACCCCGAGGGGCTTGAGGGAGGGTGGGGGCCGGTGGCTCTCGCAGGTCGGTGGTTGGGGCTGGGCCACTCTGGTGTCTGGGGGGGGCTGGCGGGGTCCCTCCGTCTGCTGCCAGAGCTGCTGGGAGGGCGGGAAGGGCTGCGAGGAGGCGGAGGCGGAGGCGGAGGCCGAGGAGGCTGACCCGCCGGGCGGCTTTCCTCAGGTCCAGAGCATCGAGTTCACTCAGATCGAGATGAAGGTGATCGAGGGGCTGAAGTTCGGAAACGAGTGTCTGAATAAGATGCACCAGGTGGGTCCCCTGGGCCTGGCACCAGGCCGGCCACGAGGGGCTGGTGTGGACGGGGTGGGGAGGCCGTCGCTGCGGGAGGGAGTCTGGCCAGGGAGGCCGACTCGTGTCCCCCGAGAGCAGGGCCATGGGCAGGCGCTGCGGCTGGGGCCACAGGTGCTAACGTCACAGAGGAGAGTCCGGGGAGCTAACAGGAGGGCTTCCTGGAGGAGGTGACCAGCCTCGTCTCAGAGGCAGGTGGTTGGCTGGAGAGGAGGGGCGGCCACACCCTGCCCTCCCTCCTGGTGAGTGGACGGGCGGGGGCGCGGGGCGGGCGGAGAGCCAGGTCAGGCTGCTTTGTAGAATGTGTGTGTGTCTGTGTTGATGTCAGAGAGGAAGGGAGAGGGAGAGAGAGAGAGAAACATCCGTGATGAGAGAGAACCGTGGATCGGCTGCCTCTGCGCGCCCCACGCTGGGGATCAAGCCCACAACCCGGGCACGTGCCCTGGCCGGGAATCGAACCTGGGACCCTCCATCCACTGAGCCACCCTGGCCAGGGCTATGCTGCTTTTCTGAGGGCAGGTGTGGCCATGTGCCCGCCGGCCAAGCCCAGGTGCTGCCCTGAGGTCACCTGCCCAGAGAAAACGCTTTACACCTCTGACTTCCTTTCCCCTGAAACTGGCAGGGTGGCTTTGGGTGCCGGGTCTAGTGAGAGGGGTCAGTGGGGTCAGGGCAGGTGAGGGGCCGGCGGGGTCAGGGCAGGTGAGGGGTCGGTGGGGTCAGCAGGGTCAGGGCAGGTGAGGGGCCGGCGGGGTCAGGGCAGGTGAGGGGTCAGCGGGGTCGGGGCAGGTGAGGACTCTGGGAAGCGTTGTGTCCTCTGGGCCAGCTCCACTTGAACAGGAACGGGGGGGGGGGGGGGGGTCGGGGGCCGAGAGCCAGCGGCCCCCCTGCCGGAGGCCCCTAAAGGCCTCAGGAGCCTTGCCCTCCTGCCGTCCCTGCAGGTGATGTCCATCGAGGAGGTGGAGCGGGTGCTGGACGAGACGCAGGAGGCCGTGGAGTACCAGCGGGTAGGTGTCCGTGTCTGTGTCCGTGTCTGTGTCCGTGGGGCCCGCCTCCCGCCTCCCACCAGCCCCGGAGACAGCTGCCAACTCGGTGACTGTCCAGGGGCCACCCTGGGGCCCCGCCGCCCCTGCCTGTGGTGGCCCCTCTTCTCGGTGAGGGTCTGAGTCGGGGCTGCCCCCCATGGGCCGCTTCCCCGCCCGGCCAGCCCCCGCTCCACCTCGGCCCCTCCTCCTGCAGCAAATAGACGAGCTGCTGGCCGGGAGCTTCACTCAGGAGGACGAGGCCGCCATCCTGGAGGAGCTGGACGCCATCACGCAGGTAACGGCCCAGCCAGCACGCGGTGCCGGGCCCTTCCCCCCGAGGGGCAGAGGCGGCCCTGGGCTGGTCTCAGCCTCCCCTCCATCTCCTGCAGGAACAGGTCGAGCTCCCAGAGGTGCCCTCAGAGCCCCTTCCGGAGAAGCCAGGTACCTGCTCCCTGTTGGGCCCGCGGGACACAGCTCTGAGCAGAGCAGGGCTCTGGCCGCGGGCCGTCCAGGCTCCATGAGCGCCGGCCTCGCCCTGACCCTGGCGGGGAGAGCTGACCCGGGGAGAGGCGGGTCCTGAGGGGGGAGCGGGAAGAGGCCGGCTCAGCGGTGCAGGCTCCGGGCCAGCGCGCTCTGAATGTCGGGCCTGGGCCGGCCGGCCCCTGGCATCAGCTCACACCTTCCAATTCTCTGCCGGCCCCGTGTCTGCTCCTTCTCCGAGCGCCTGGGAGCTCTGTCCTCCGGCCCTGCCCAGTGCCTGCTCCCCTCCTCGCCCCGCTGACTTCTCTGTGACTCGCTGCCGTCGCCGTCCCCGTCCCGGGAGCTGTGCAGGCTCTTGCAGGGCTCGCAGCCCTGGGACCTGGCTCCTGTCCGCCTCTGTCCTCTGGAAGCTTCTGCCTGTGGAGTCTCAACGTGACAAACATTTTTGTTTCCTCCACAGAGAAAGTCCCCGTCAGGACCCGGCCCCGGCAGGCGGACCTGGTGGCAGCCTCCTAACAGCTCCTGCTGGCCTGCAGGGACCCAGGGACTGGCCCACAGAGCCCCGGCCGGCCCGGCCGCGGTGCCACGGGTGCACACGGCTCGCTGCCTGGGAGCCTCCACGCGCCTCCCGGCGGGGGTTGCTGCCTAGTACTCGTTTCTGGATTAAGTGGCAACAGTCAGACCTTCTGGCCAAATGCGGCTTCTGCAGCTGTGGCTCCACAGGCCGTGCCGGCCACCTCGCCTGGTGCTGGTCCCTCGCCTGGCCCTGCGTTCCCTGGCGGGGGCTTTGACAAGGCAGCAGGCACCTGACCGGGCTTCCCGGCCGCCGGCTGCCTATGGGCTCGGGTGGAAGCACACTTCTGTGTCTGCGTTTGGGGAGGGAGGCCGGGGCGCGTCCCTGCTGGACCGATGGCTCCAGGAGCCCTGGCCTCCCTCGTCACCTGCGGGCCTGCTGAGAAAGGACATGACAGCGGGTGCTGCCGGGATGAGTGCCCGTGGGACTCTGCGGGGCTGGGGCTGGGGACCTGCCGAGACCCAGGGCTTGCCGGCCCGTCCACTCCGCGCTGTCGGCCACCAAAGAGGTGGGGGCACTTCCGACTCACATTCACCTGGAACGACAGTCTCACTGGGTCTCACTCCCAGCCCCAGGCAGCACCCCATTAAAGTTGGTCCTGCACACCTGCCGCCTCATGGCCTGGGGGCGCGAGGGTGGGCCAGAGGTGCCCCATCTGCCCCGTGTCCCTTGACCCTCATGGCACTCACCATGGGCAGCGCCACAGTGGGGCTGGGGCTGGGCAGGCAGAAGGTGGTTCTGCGCACGGTGGGCAGGAGGCAGGCTGGGCTCCGCCTCCCTCGGGAGTGACGGGCAGCCTCTCACCGAGAGGTGCTGTATGGCTCCCGACAGGTGGCTGGCCTCAGTCCTGATGTGCGCGCAGGACGCCCAAGGCCCCAGAGAGCAAGCCGGCAGCAGTGAGGGGGGGCACCCCACCTCGGGGCCTCCATGTGGATGCACCAGGGCTGGGTCTGGAGAGGTGCTTGGGTGAAGGGACCCTCAGCAGGTGCAGTGCACGCCTCTGCCAGCAGGGGGCTCTGCCTGCCGGGCTCGGGATTTGCAGGAACCGGCAACGCCAGTGCCCATCTGGCTGCTGGGCCCCCTGCTTGTGTGGTGGCAGCTGCCATCTGTCGCCAGGACTCAGGAGGGCGTCCCCACCTACAAGGAGGAGCAGCCCCGGACCCTGTCCCTCTGCAGCCTGGTTTCTGGGCCCGGGAGGCCAGGAGGGGATGGCTGGCCTGCTGGGGGGGGGGGGGGGGGGCACAGACACGGCCCCAGCCTCTTGACCCCACCAGCAGGGTGCGCCGGTCCTTTCCCTCTGCCTCCCGGGACCTGAGCGCGGGGCTGCCCTCGAGCCTGTCCTGGGAGCAGTGGTGCCCAAGTGCCCGCTGGCCCCTGTGAAAAAGGGACGAGGGTGGGCATGTCAGGGGCTCACAGCTCCCAGTGACTCCCGCTCCAGTCACCCCGGCCACGTCTGTTTCAGGCCAGGTCACAGCGTGTGCCTGCAGCACATGTCGGCGCTGTCCCCTCGCCATCTTGCCCGCCCACTGACTTAGGGAACCCGTCTGAGTGTCTGTGGGACCCAAATCAGGGCATTTATCCTGAGCTCAGCTGTGGCCTAAGGACTCCGTGAGCACACATCTGTCTGCACAGGGGTCATGGCCCCGTATTTCACGGACTGTGTCCAGAGAGAACCCCTGCTCCCCCACTAAGAGGCTGCCGGACGGATGTCTCCCAGGCCTGTGCCCTCGGCCCCAGGTGTCCTGTGAGGGTGAAGGCCTGCAGCGTGCAGGTCATCTGCAGCCCAGCCCCCGGTGCGCGGGGTGCAGACAGTTCACGCAGCTCAGCGAGCACATGGCCCACAGCGCTGGGGCGAGCTGCACCCCCAGGTGGCTGCCTCCACCCGCCGGCTGAAATGCGGGAAAGAGGCTGCGAGGCCTCGGTGCGACCAGAGCCGGGGCTGCGGGCGCCCCTCACCACGGGGAGGACGCTCAGGGCTCGGCCGCCCGGCGCAGGAGGCCCTGTGGACAAACATGCCCACAGGCCCGGGGTCTTCCCAGCAGGAGGAGCTCCGCTCTGCGAGGAGAACTGGGGGGCGGGACAGGCGGCATCCACTGAGCCGGGCTGAACCCCGGAGCCGAACTGACCCGGGGTGTGCAGCCAACAAGGACATGCTCCCCAGAGAATTACCCCGACCCAAAGTCAGTGTCGCGTTCACAGCCCCAGTCGGACGCGCAAAGATGGTGACGAGGTGACCAGCTTCCCAGGGGGCGGGGGGGGGGGGGCGGACTCCAGGGCGACGGACGGGTGATGGTGTCGCTGTCACCCGGTGGGTTACGCACACGGAAAGGGCAAGTCTCGGCTGCGGAGCAGAAGCCGCACAGAAGAACAAGGGGCCGTGTCAGGCCGGGACGTGTCCTGCGGGCGGTGACGGCCTCCCGGCAGGAAGGAAACTCGAAGGAGGCGAGCGGGGCCGGGGGCCGCGGACGGTCCAGCTGGTGTCAGCTCCAGGGCGTGGAGATGGGAGCAGAGCAAAGCACCCGAAGGATCCGTGGCTGAAATTCCCCAAATTTGGTGGAAGACGTCAATTTAAGAGTCAACAAGCTCAGCGACCCGCACACAGGCGACATTCAGAGAAAACCAGGCCTGGACCAGCCAGGATTAAGCTGCTGAAGTCAGGCAACGAGGACTCCGGAGAGCAGCGATGAGGAGGCGCCCGCAGCGCTGGACGGGAACCACAGGCGTGACATTGTCAGGCCTTTGATACTGGCAACCCTGGGGGGGGCGGGGGGCACAGGCTCCCTTGGTGAGCGGCCTCGGGAGGGCTGGGCTCAGAGGAGAAGGGGCCTCGAGTCTAGAACCCTCTGTGGGAACCTGTCAGTCAGCACTGGGGCTGCCAGTCCCCTCCCAGGTCTGCCCAGGGTAGAGGGAGGCTGGGTCTCAGCAGGGGCCCACGGGGCGGGCGGGCGGGGGGCAAAATGGGCAGAGACCCCAGGGCCCAGGTACACCCAGTTCTCCTGTGGCCTGAGGATGGGACAAGTGGCCTGGCCGGCAGGTGCAGCCGCCCCCCATGGGAAGAGCCTCCTGCGTGGGGTCCGCCCCCCTGTCCTGCGGGCAGGTTGCTGAGCCGGCTCCCTGGCTCCGGGCCACCGCCTGGCCGCACGGTCCTGCCAGGGCCACGGCCGGCCCCGCTGCCACCCAGAGTGTCCGGGGCGGCAGGTCAGGCCGCCTTCACTCTGTCCCAGGGCGTCCGCCCCTCTCGCCACCGGGCCAGGCAAGGAGGGCCCCCCCACCCCGCTCCCCAGGCGCCGCCCCCTTCAGGCCGCTCCTGGGCGCCGAGGCCTCCTGCTTCTGGGGCCAGGCGGGTGGGAGAGGACGCTGAGGGGGGGTGTCGGTTCTCCTTCCCACCGGCCCCCATCGCAGTGCAGCCCGCGGCTGAGGGCCAGCCCGGAGCCTGGTCCCCGGGAGAGTCTGGTCTTACTTTCCTGGGGCAGGTGGAGGCGGGCAGGTTCCCCGTGGGCCTCGCGGGCCACAGGAGGGGGCCCTGCGGAGAAACATGCAATGGGGGGTGGCCGCCGCCGTCAGGTCGGCCACTGGCTGGGAGGCGCCCGTCTGCCCAGCACCTGGTCCCACAGTGGACCCTCCCTGCCCTTGGACACCGCGGGGGGGGGGGGGGTGCAGCTCGAGTTTCCCACCAGCCTCCGAGAGGCGCTGCCTCCAGCTCGAGGAGACGGGCCTGGCGGCGTGAGATTTCCAGGCTCAACACGGAAGCCATTTTTCTTGAAATCATCTCACTTTCAGAGGACGCGCCAGGAGCGGGGAGCGGGCGCTGCCGTGTGAATCTGCTCCCAGGGCCCGCCGACCCTGCCCCCCGCCCAGGGCTGCTCGGGGGCCTCACTGCTCCCCACAGGCCTGGCCCTGGGGTTCCCCACTGCACGCCCAGGGATGTCCCCCAGCCTGGCCTCAGCCAGCTGCACCTCCCCCTGCGCAGCCTCGCCCAACCCTTCTAGCACATTCTGGGGGAGCTGCGGGTGGGTGCCGGGGCCCCTCCCCCACGCGGAGGTGCACGCAGTCGCAGGCAGACATCCCGCCTCGGGGGACACCCCTGGGCCCGGGGGGCGGGGGGGGGCCGGCTCTCCTCCTACGTGTGGCCGGGGCACAGGGACAGCCCCCCCCCCCGCACCGTCCCCCGGGCAAGGTGGGCGCAGGCCCAGGCCCGGGTCTCGGTCCCCTTGGGGAGCTCGGGGTTCCCCGTGGGGCTTTGGGATCTGCAGCAAGAAGAAGTCAGCTTTCGGGGCTGAAGCCAACACTGTAAAACCGGGCTTTAAATAAACACGGGAGCCGGAGCCAGCGCGCTGCAGCACGGAATTAGAAGCGGCGCCGCCGGGACCATCTGTGGCGGCGTCTGGAGCGAAGGCTGGCGGCGCGGTCTGCGGTCCGCGTGTCCTGCGGGAGGACCCGGCGGCACCCCAGGCTGGCTTCGGGGTGTCCTCCAGGTTCAGGTTCCAGGGAAGAGGTCCTTACGGCTCCAAAACTCTCAGACCCCACACGGGCGACTCCCCAGGAGCCGTGATGGGAGCACCGGCGGCGTTTCAGGGCAGGCGCCGGACTCTAGTCTGTGAGCCCAGCACCGGCCTCTGGGGGCGCCACCGCTCCGGCTGTGGGCACGCGGCTCCTCGCCTCCCGTCCTCTCCTGGGGCCCCCTCGCTGGAGAACCCCCACAAGCTCAGTTTGTGTGCCGGCTGGTGCCTGGGCTCCTTGCCTACCTTCAGCTCCCTCCCCCCAACCCTGCCCCCCCAAATTAGCCCCGGAGCTTGGCCCAAACTCCCAGCCCGGCCCTCCCGCCCCTCTCAGCCCACCCTGCCCAGCGCCGGATGGCCGGGCCCTCCCAGCCTCACCTGGGCTGGGCTCCCCGAGGCCTCGCACCTGCCCGGCTGTTTACATCTGCGGCCAGGCAGCGCCTCTCACAGCAGGTGGGGGAGCTGGCAGCCGCAGGTGACGCTGAAATGCAACTGGGGAGAAATGCGCGAGGCTCAGGCTGGTTCAGCCCCTGCTCCCCCCACGCGGCCTCCCACGGCCCGCAGCCTCTGGAGGCCGGTTATGTAAGGGGCTGCTGCTGGGGAGCCTCTCCCTGCCCTGGGCGATGGGCCCCCACCTCCCCACCTAGGGAGCCCCCTGGGCCCCCTCTCAGCCTGGCCAGGAGGGAAGTTCTAGAACTTTCTAGGCCACTTCCTAAGAGGAGGAGGCCAGTCCACAGCCCGGAAAGGCCTGAGGGAGGCCAGGCCTTCACCCCACTCCTCCCTCCACCTTCCCGCTGCGCTCCACTCCCAGGGCCTCGGTTCTCCGGCTCCCCCCGCAGTCACCCCCCCCCCCCAGGGCGGAGGACACGGCACAGGGCCTGGAGGTCAGGGCTGAACCACCCTGGGGCCAACATTTTATTTTTAATTTTTATTGATTTCAGAGAGGAAGGGAGAGGGAGAGGGGGAGAGAGAGAAACATCAGTGATGAGAGAATCACAGCCCAGCCGCCTCCTGCACGCCCCTCCCTGGGGATGGAGCCTGCAGCCCGGGCAAGTGCCCCGACCAGGAATCACCATGGACCTCCTGGTTCAGAGGTGGACGCTCAA